TCACGCTTTTTTTGGATTACTGCTTCTTGATCTACCAGACCAAAGCTCTCAGAAGCTCTGATGCTTGGTTGCTGTACACCAGATCTCAGTCTCAATGTGGGACAGGGCGTAAGCAAGCCGCAAGAATGTGGGTCCGAGAATGGCAGCTTTGCACCAACACTGACATTCGTCAAATTTTGGACTTCTTGCTTTCTCGTTTTCCGGAAGGGCTCCCCCCAAATTCGGTGGACTCACAGACCCTTCGGAAATTTTGTCAGATGCTTTGGAGTTCCAAGTGCCCAATCTTTGATACGTTTCGAGCAGAAGCAAGCACTTTTTCCTCTCCTGCGGCTGAAAGTAGTGTGCTTGTGTTTCCGGTGGCTGGTTTTCCTGGGCCGCCTCCGTCGCCCGATCAGTGGTATCAATGGGCACATGGCACTGATAGCGCCGGAGCCATTGGAATTTTATCGTCGGGGAGAATTCTGCCTACTGCAAAGCAGACCCTCCATCTGAAACCCCCGCAAAGCAGTTGGTCATTTTTCTGTAAAGTACTGACCACGCCTGATTGGGAGGAAGCTCGCAACGAATTTGTGAGCAACATGCATTGGTCCACAAAGAACAGTTGCGGAGTGGTATTTTCAGGCAGAGTCGGAGGCGCAGCCCATAAGGCTCAGGGTGCTAACACAGTTTTGGAAAATGCTTTGGGCAGGTTTCACCCAGTTGTGCATTCACCGTCTAAGACGGACAAGAGGTGGTGCGTCAGAACAACTGCGGCCCGTATAGACGTCATCTATATCGTTTCCAGCATGCACTCGTTGGATTTTCCGTTCGAGCCTTCCTTGGCTTCCAAGAAGTCCAACAAGCCATTGGATGACCCTATCGGTCTCCCTCTCGCAATCCAAGACGCTGGAATTGATGATAGCTGGGGCAAGTGGCTTCCCCAAGGCTCCTCCGAAGCATCCCAGCAAGTTCCTCCAGCAGCGAATTCAGCCATGGTAGCAGAAATTCCTGCTACAGATGAAGAGCCTGATTTGATGGCTAGCTTTCACTCGTTTCAAGAATCCTGATCCTGCAATTTGGCTTCGCCGCTGTCTGTGCCAAAACGTATCGCCTGTTTTTTGTAGTCGCGTGCGTGTGTTGCTTGTTCAGTCAGTGCATGAGCAGCTTTCTGAGCTCAGTTCAATATCAGATCAAGATCGTCATATTTGAGGTCGTTTTCCAGATCTGTTCGACCGTACCGATAGAGCCCATATTAACGTTGCTGCGTTCGGGTGGACCCGGCGTAGGGGGGTGGGGTGGTTGACAGGCGCTGCCGTGTCTTCGGCCCGCGGCCTCGGCTAGCTGTACTCGGGTGTACCCGGTGCAGAGGGGGAGGGGCGGTTGACGGGCATGGCTGCGTCTTCCGCCCGCGACCTCGAGTGTGAGGGAGTGCTCGTCACTGTAAGACGTGCCAATGTTCGATGTTTGGCGGTCTCTTGAGTCCTAAAAGGATGTTTTGACCTGCAGTCACGAGCCTACTGCCCAATTCCAGCCGGCGTCTGACGCTGGTGAATTTGGCGTCCGTGACACGCATGAACCGCACCTAGTTGCTCCAGATAGGGCTTGTGCCGCCCTCACAAGTAGCGGTGGTCTTCGAACGACTTGTCCCTTTGAGGGCGACCGATATCCAAATCTCCGATGAGTTCGGTGTCGAGTTTGCCTCGTGCTTTTTTTCGCAGCCATTGTTGTCCAACCTCCGGTGATACTTATGTTGGCTGCCTCCTGAAAAGGTTTCTCCCTTGCTCGTTGGGCAACGTCGAATTTCGTGTTCATGTCAAGGATCGATGTTGCGCATATAAAAGCATATGCTTACCCTGCTTCGGCAGGGTGTGTGTGGGGAAAGCCTGTTACCAAGGTCGTAATGCAGCTGCCTCCGTTGTGCGTTTCAGCTTCTCACCTTTTCATTTTGAATGCGCAGGGGCGTCAGGCCCAATGCACCTACCTGACGCAACGAAGCTACGGTGCATTGGGGGATGGGTGGTCTGATCAACCACCTGTACCTGCCTTCTAACAAGATATAAAGTGCTGGTTGTGATGTTTAGGAAGCTGTGCAACATCATTGTTTCGTAACTTTATCTAGAGTGAACTCACGTGGGGTTCATGCAGGCTCTGCCTTGAAGTCTTCACCTCTGAAACATCAAGTGACCAGAGGGAGGATTGCATGAGTGTGTGTGTGTGTGTGTGTTTTGTTTTTTTCCCTTTTGTTCTTGATCTTTGTCTCTGGAAGGAGAGAGAAAAAAGGAAACCAAGTAAGGAACGAAGAGGGGCACTAAACGGCCCTAAAAGCCTAAATTTCTCGTTCTATCTCGGGCTGCCGTCATGTGCTCAAACCCGCGTGATTTGGCTTTTGTATCCGACTTCCAAATCATATTTGCCCACTCTTTCTGAAAAGGAGCCAGGTTTGCTTCCTTGCTCTTTCTGTTTGCTTGTTGTTTTCCTGGGTTTAGGGTTTAGGGCTTAGGTCCACTAGGGTTTAGGTTCAGAGTTCAGGGTTAGGGGTTTAGCGCCTCTCTCGGTTCCCTACTTTGATTTCCTTCTTTCTCTCTTTCCAGAGACGAAGATCGAAACAAAAGGGACAACACACACACAAACAAACACACACACACACACACTCTCTCTCTCGCCCTAAGCCCGAAGGCCTAAACACTTCAGTTCAAGCCAGGGCATGCTTTAAACCCTGACGCCTAGAATTCATGGTGGTGCCTCTGCCGTGCGGTGTACGGTGTACAGAGACATGTATATCCACCCACTGCGCTACCCGGGTCCCCGCGCGATTCGGGTTGCTGAACCGCAAGCCCGAAACCTCAAATAAGCAGTCAACCCTAAACCCTAAACCCTAAATCCTACACCCTAAACCCTATACCTTAAAACCTCCAAAAGCCTTAAACTTTTGTCCAGATCCCAACGTGGCCCCCGCATGCCCCCGTTTTGGCTGAGGAGCAGTCCAGCAGGTAAACTTTAAACCTTTTGGGTCTATAAGTCCCTACAAAAGGCAAGATTAAGTTTTGCCGGGTGCTCGGTACCTGAGTTGGAGCCCAAGTTTGGACCTGAAAAATGTATATCCACCCCCTGAAAACAGGCTAGATTTGTTTCTGGTTTTAAGGCTGAGGTTTTACGGTTTCAGATTTAGGTTTAGGGCGTTTGGCGGGTTTCGGGTTTAGGGTTACTGTCTAAGGTTTTCGTTTTGAGTTTAGGGTTAAGGTCTGGGATTTGTCAGGTTTAGGCTTAGGGCTTAGGGGCTATTGTAATGTTTCTATAAGTTTTCCTCTTCTTCCAGAGGCCAAGACCTTGCAAACCATCAAAATGTCAAATTTTTGTGATTTTTGACCATTTGGGCCTTCACAAACCTTGAATTTAGGCCAAAACACAGGGATTGTGCCTAGTTTTGCCTTGCAACCACCAAAAAGGCAAATTTTGACCATTTTGGGCTTTCACAAACCCTGAATTAAGGCCAAAAGCACAGCCTTGGAAACCCCCGAAATGGCCAATTTCATGGATTTTGACCATTTTGAGTCTCACAAACCTTGAATTAAGGCAAAACATAAGGTTTTTCGCTAGTTTGGCGGCCTTGGAAACCACCAAAATGGCAAATGTTATCAAATGCTTGTGATTTTTGACCATTTTGGGCTTTCACAAACCCTGAAGTAAGGTCCCTAGATTGACGACAGGTGTACCGTATGTTGTTCTCTGTTTCCCAACGGCGGTACTGGGTTGTTTTATATACCTCGGCGATTCCTGCAGTGCCTTCCCGAGAATTTTAGTGGAATGCCCGCCGAATCCTGCAGAGTATGCCTGGAGCGCCCTCACCCAAAAAAGGAAGCAGAGCAGAGAACCCCGCCCGCACAGAGAGTCCTACAACAAATCCCACAAGAGTGACCACCCAAAAAAATCTTGCAGAGAATTCCGCAGCGTACCCCTGGAGTCCCAGAGAATCCTGCCGAGAATCCCACAAGCAACCCTGGAGTGCTCACGAGAGAAGCGAATTTTTGTGGAGTACCCGCGCGCAGAGAATCCCGCTTCTCCGGGGGGGCACTAGGGATTCTCCAGGTCTCTGTGGGTAGGCACTCCACGTAAGGGGTCAAGCTTTAAGAAGAAACTCACGGGATCTCGATAAGCCTTATAGAAAAAACACCGCGGGGGTGATATCCCAGGTTCACCCCCCCATGGTGTTTTTTCTGTGTCTCCTGGCCCTGGAATGTCACCAAAGCGGTTCTTCTAGGATCTAATGATATCTAATGTGTCAAGAGTGCCAAGCCAGGGCTGGAAAGCCTACGGCAATCAATCGGCCGTGGCCCACGACATAGGCTTCAGGAGGCCACCACCACACTCAGGCAAGAAGAGCTACCAGCAGCAATACTAAGGGATAGAAGACCGACCGAACATGAACTGGTTTTGGACCACGCCAAAGACAAGCCGAACGGGGTGGTTGCGGGCCAAAAGTGCCTAATGCAAAAAACACAAACTCTCCAAACTCAGGTTCTAGCTGGAGATCCGCACGGCCAGTACAGGCTCGCGGAAATGAGTAAAACCCAGCAGAGGAGGAAATGTGCTCTGCCTGGCGGTCATGACTTGCGGCTGAGTTACATGCAGATACGTGTGCACCACAACATCCAGCCTCCGGAAACTGCACATGTGTCGAAGCTAGGCAGACACTTCGCCTGAGTTGCTCTGAGTGTGAACGCCCTGCTGTGACCAAAGGCTGTTTGCATCTCACGAAACCATTGTCTGGTGATGTCAACAGTCTGCTTCATCTCTCTTCAGAAGCTGGACAAGCAGGACAAGCAAAATGACAAATCCACGCGCTAAGAAGGAAGCTGGTGTCTGCTCGGTGCTTGAATCGGTGATCGCTGCTTGCGCTCCATCACCTGGCCACACCGAACATGAAGAAGCACACAAAGAGCAGGAAGCGTGCGGATGCTAGCGCACGCTTGCGGCAGCAACTCTCCAAGACCTGCTCACGTCGGGTTTTGGAAGTCACCGCCTCATCCTTGCACAAGCAGATAATGCAGCAGATTCCACTGCCCATGTGGCAACCGGTCCTCCGTGGCATTCAAAGCACGCAGGACCTTGAATTCCTGGATGGATATGTTGCCGTTGTTGTTTCTATCGAGCTCCTGCCAGCTTGGTCCCAAGTCGAAGCTGACAATCCGGGTCGGAATCATCCATGCAGGAGGACGGCATTTGGAGTCGCTCCTTGAACACGGATCTTGCGTTCCCAGTGAAGTGCAGTGCTCTGGCCTTTGCAAGACAGGGAACGAAAGACATGCATAGCCTGCTGTATCCTGCAGTCCTTTCATGTCACATGTTGCTGACAAGAAAGGCTTCAATGTGGCCCAGCGTATGCAGCACCGCTCCAAGGTGCGTAGCGGAGGCCCAAAGATCCTAAAGACCTCGAAAGCCTTCGATAGCAGGCCACTGCAGGGCCCAGACGCCAGACACAAACTCTGTCATCCCGAGCTGGTTGTTCCTGTTTCCGTCGAAATGCTTGTAAGCCTCAGCCCATCTCAGCTCCAAGCAAGCTAAGAAAGGACATCTGTACGTTTGAAGGATGGTGGGCCTTGTCTAGGGTGTCAAACTTCTTGATAAGAAGGGCAGCAAAAGCACCTCGGCCAGCCATCAACAACAAACGAGCCACTCAAGTCTGTGCACCTCAGACGATGTGAACCGCGCTGAAGTGGCAGCACGCGGCAAGCATCTATTTCAACCAACTGCTCCAGAACCCCATGAACAATCACCTTTGTAAGCTTTTGACGCATCTCAGAGTAGATGTGGCCCGCAAAGTGTTCCTTCAACCAGGCATGATGGCTCTGCAGGAACTGGTGAGACACAGCGACAACAACACCCAGGCTTCCATCACGGATCCCGCGATCCTTCCCGTCTTTCTTGCGTGACACTGATGGCAGGATCGTGAAGTTCATTGCGTCGGAACTGTACGAGAGCTCCTGACCAACTCTGCATGGATCAAAGCACCGTGTGACGCATGCAAGCGCAAGCCAATCATGGAGCCAACAAGCAACATGAACACGTCCTGAAGGAATCTCGGTGATCCTTTTGAATCCTTTGGTAGTGCCTGCACAGAACATGTCACAAGCCCGCCATAAGCAACAAAGCACGCCGCACTTCACGCAGCGCACCGGGATCTTCTCCGCGTCATCCTTCTGTCGAATTTCGCGTGAGTAAAGAAAGGGCCTTGGTAAGTTGGACGGCAGAGCCAAGCACATTGACGCGACTTTCTGGCTTTGCATGGCTTCTGCATCATGGTTTGCAGCATTTGCCAGATCCACAGGGCCACAAGCTTCTACACTAGTACAAATAGTTACCACGTACGACGTACGCCTCAATATGGCAGAGCTCGTTCTTGTGTGATTGGCGTGTTGTGCATGCCGAGGCTGGCATGCTGTGAGAAGTTACAGCTGCTATGTCTGCTATGTAATCTGAGTGACCCAGCCCACCTTTAGCCTTTGCCAAGTCATCGTAGGAGATCAAGCCATCCTTGTCCTGTGAAGCATGCCAAGACAGCAGGTCTCTTGGAGTCAGTAGCCCAGTGTCCTTGTCCATGGCCTTGAAGAGGCGCAGAAGCACCGAGTCACATATGCGTCTTGGATCTTTCAACGGATCAAACCTAGAGCAACAAACCGTGAGCAACTTGACGCTGCATGTAGCGCATTCTAGAGATCTAGCACACTCCAATCGAGCCTACGAGCATCTTTGGACCCTGTTGAAAGAAGCTGGCGCAAGCCCTCCTCACCAACAGGACTCAGTGGCTGGAGAAGTGACAAAGCAAGTTTGTGGTGGTTCTGCGCGTGCAGACGTACGCAGACTGCACTGCCGACTTTGGCATGGGTTGATCTGCTCATTCGGCTCCTGCCATTCCAAGCAGGAGAGGCGTCCATCTTGGAAGAAATCCAGCTTGTCGAAAGCAGCCTGCAGTCGGCAGGGTCGATAGGATCGATGGATCGCTTCAAGATGGCGTGTCGACTCGGCACCCTCAAGTTTGCGACAAGCCTTTAGAGTTCCGTGCTTCCTCGTAAGCAGCAGAACCTCGCTTTTTTTGCTAAAAAGGCTGATGGGCCCACACTCGTTGTCACTCTCGTTGTCGCGCCCAGCCCAAGCCCCACACGCATTCGTCAAGGCTTAAGGCCAGCAACTGCTCCTCTTTCGGATCATATTGAGCCAATGAGCCAATCCAATAACAAGGGCTTGACCGGTCCTCTGCCATCGCGCCTGCTCGACCTGACCAGTTTGTGTGAGTACAATATCCCTGAAGTCTCTGGATGGCTCTGCAGCCAACCACCTTCGATAGCTCGAAGTCAGGTGGGATACACCGCGCACGACGGCGGCTTTCAGGCTCATTGAGGAGGCATTACGCAATTCGCTGTACAGGTGTGGTGGGAAAGTTTTGCAGATGCCGAATCACTGCTAAACTGATCAGCTCGCGAAGGGTGGGAAAGCTGGGGAGGGGTGGGGTCCATCTAAGGCCAAACGGGCCAGGCAGGACCAAGCAACCCAAGTTGTCAACCTCCTCTCTATACGAGCCGGAAAGGATGTCGAACCATGAGTCATGGCCAGCTCTGTGCGTTGCTCAGATGCGCTCACCAAGTCCGCTGCCACTGGACATGTTCAAGCTAGAGAAAAAAGGCAATGTGCGTGAACAGTCGAGAAAGCCCACTATATATGCTACGGGTAGCTGGGCGTCCCTTTGCGAAGGCGTCGCCGTCGCTTACGGAGGGTCTATTTCTTTCCAAGGGAATTTTTAAGTTGTCCAAGGCATCTGTTCCGACTTTTCATGATTGCACTGTCATTCTGCCGGCGATTTCTGCAGGCACTTGGGTTTCTGCAACAGTCGTCCTCAATTTAGGACGCTGAAGAGATAACAAGCCGTTTTGGCTGAATGCCCTTTGCGCCTACATCTGTACCAACCTCCCTGTGAAACTACGACGTCCTCCTTGCAACGAGACGGTTCGATGCGACCTCGTCGACCACGTCCAGCTTCTGCTCCGACCTCACATCATCTCCGTGTTCGCAAGGGCTTGCGAAGAAGGAGCCCTAAACGGGGCTCCGAAGCTCATCAAACCAAGGCCGCCACATCGTGACGAAACCTTCGTACCTCAAGCCATGCTTTCCTCGACGTCACATTACCTCAGGATGTGGGATTCTTCCGTGTCAGGCTGGCTTTTGCCAGTCTTCTTCGTAAGCGGCGGACAACACACATCTCCTCAATTTCTTCAAGTGGCGGCGCCTGCAGTGTGTTGTTGGTGTGTATCGTGGTGTACCGACGTTCACCATGATGAGCTTGTCTGGGATACGAGCAGGGAGCTCCGCCTCTCGCAGCCAGGGCCTCAGCATATGCGGATTGCTCTCCAAGAGATCTCCGGAATCCAGAATGCGGTCGACTCAGGGTGGAGCTCCAGCTGTCCCACCGGCTTGCCATACTCGGTTTCATACCAAGCCTTTGTGAACTTGGTGTGGATCATCCAGGCATGAGGGCTATGGCAATGACGGGTCTGAAACTGACTTTCCTGAAAGTTATGCGATAGCCAGGAACAGTCAGAAAGTATATAGAAAAGGTCAGAACCCTTTTGGAAAAAGTCAGGTCAGTACAAATATCGTGAAACACAGTAGTAGCAGCATTCTTTATTGAACTTGATTGTGAGACGTTTGCTCAAATTTACCATTGCTTGTTTCTGCTGAAATTTTCCGTTACTTTCCCAACTCTGCCCAGGGCCTCGTATGAACCTTCTGACTTGTTGTAACTTCTTGTGATCCTAGCAAGAAGTAGAAAGTAGCTTGTGCGAGGGACTTAAGACTAAGCTTTCCACCAGCCAGCTGCATACACCAGCAAGCTTATCCTCAGAGAGGAATTGCGATCTCATGTATACAGCTTCTCAGCCCGCTGGACGACCGAAACGAGATCCGCACCTTTCCCAAGTCTCTCGCCTTGTACAAGTCGTAGAACCTGCAAAGAAGGCAATTTGTAAAAGAACAGAAGCTGTCTGTTCAGATGCGGGCTTGTTGGTGTACTCGACTGTGTCCACTCCGGCGAACAACCCCCACGTTAGGTCCTGGACCATGACTAGTGAGACTCACTCTTCATGACCATGCTGCGAAATATGCTCAACATCTGAGATTCGCCCGGCTGCGTCCTTGCCCGTCAGACTGGAATATGGGCCGTTCAGATCATACTTGTCAGGACCTCTGTACATGCAAATTGCGTTTGCAAGAATGATGCCGTCTCTGTGCTACAGAGCAGCGGTCTGAAACATCAAAGATGTTTCCATACACAGACAGCAGGTATCTTCGCTGTGTATTGTCACAGTCATACCTGAGGAAGCGAAATACGCAACTTGACACAGTCAAATGCTCTGAACTGCCACTCCAAGTGCAGAACTCTTCTGAGTTCGCTGCGCCGCCAACTGCTCTGCAGTGAGCAAACCAACCGGCTGCTGATAGTCGACGGGAAGGTCAACATCGTCAGGCCTAGTGGCCCAACTTCACATGACCACTGCAAGTGGCAACATCAACTTCTGCTTGGCACGGGCCTATCCATTGGTCTGTGTCCGCCAGTGAGTTGAAGGGACTGTTTTTGAACATCCTCTCGCTCTTTAACCGCTTGCACTTCCAGAAATGACTCGCACACTTGCCACTCGTCCTCATAATGGTCCGTTTGCAGAGTCGATCTCTTGGACTTTGCAGCATCAGCCCTCGCCCTCAACTCTTCGTACTTCGATCTGAACATGTCCTTGGCTCACATTCGGAAATGAGTTTCCGTGGCTTGTCGCTGCCCATCTCAGGCCAGCACTACCATTGCTTTCTTGTACCCCTTCCAACAGATCAAGCTACGGCAACTGCCCCTTCCTTGATGGTTGTGCCCAGGTTGTGCCTGCCGCTCCGCTTCACTGGGCTCCCCATTTTTCCACTCGTAGACTCCATTTGTAGACCTTGGCGGCTTTAGAGACCCCCAAGTACTGAACACTCGCGAGGCGGTGGCTGAAAGAAAGCAATGTTCACGCATGTCACGCCCATCTCGTTTGCCGACAGCACCGTCGCGCCCAAAAATCCCTCCAAGAGTGGGGGCCCTCCCGGCAACACGCCCGCAACGACATGAAAATGATCGCGGTGGGCAGGTTTAAAATACGGAAATCCGTGCAGATACCGGCAAGATGGTGCTCTGACAAATTTCACAGACACAAACAAATGGTTGCAGGGACACCAAAAACCGACATGGGCTGAAAGAGGGTGACAGATCTAGACGTTTTGGCTAAAGCTTGGCTTTCCGGAAAGTCAAAGGATATCGTCCAGCACTGAATCAGGTTAAACACGAATTCGACATCCGACAAACCAAATGGCTAACCACGATTCTTGTTCAATAAATGAAGCGTATGGCCTTCCATCGTCGTCATGCCCACATCAAGCATGATTTTGGCTGCAAGGATGTTGGCATATGTGGAGCGGCGCGGCAAGGAATTTCTGGGCGAGCCACGGTTTTCATTTTTTGGGTTTATACGAAACGAGCTGGGCCGAAGACTTCCACAGCCTCTCCCAGCATGCTCGATGGGCTTGAATTTTCAAACCATGCCAAAGCTTCTTCCATGATCTACATTGTGCAGTTCAGGTCCTGAAAGTTAGGCAAGTTAGGCACCAAGCTCTTGCGTGTGTTCCTTCTGGTCTTTCTTGTGCATCGCGGAAGCGACCTTCACGGGACCTTGTGGGCTTGGTGCCTCAGCAGATATCAGCAGGCTTGGGAATTCGTTCAGAGGAACAGACACTGCAGTTGGGCCGCTATTTCGCCTGGGCATGAAGCACTGGCCTGCAAGTTTCCAAGGGAAAACTGAAGCAGGACTTTGTGTTGTGAGTTTGCAAGCTGGTGGCATTTAAACCGAAGAGCAGTAGAAAAATGCTGCGGCCTCGGCTAGGCTCTTCTGCAGATCGATCTTGAGCTGCTGCAGTGCCTCACAAATTTCATCTTGCTCGCCATCCCATGAAGCAGCGATGATCCCACCTTGTTGTCTGACTGTGTCTGAAGGCCCTTCTTGCAGATACTGAGAGCCTGCATGCACCACTCGTCGCTTATGCCAAGCCTGACTGTAACACTATATACATGTCTTGGATTTCACTTACATGTCCTCATCCTGTTTGTCCAGCAGTTGCAATGCCAGTGCTCGGTTGTAGTATGCCTGGCATTGCACTGGGAACACGTATAGTCAAAGAGTGGAGCATGAGATTGCTGTTCGATGCCTTGACATTGCTCGGATCAATCTCCTGAGCAATTTCTGCATCTGTTGCGGCATCGTCCAGGTTGTTCAACTTCCTGCATGCAAGCCAGGGAATCCAGGGAATGGCAAAACTCAAAGCTGTGGCTCAGGGTGACATTGAATCTTAAACCATGGTCTTTGCCACAGCTTTAAAGGAGTTGCATACCATAGTTACAGTACGTGCATGAATCATGTGATCGTGTCACATAAGCCCTCTACACAGAGACCGACTTAGTTGCCACAGGCCAGTGAGTATCCCCCCACATCCCCCACACGCCATGCAAGCGGATCAGAATTCAAGCCTGTTGCAGATTGACCGGTTAAGCCAGATGCTGGCATCATACATGTAGGTCTCCTGAGCTGTGCAAAACTCTCCGCATGCACGGAAACAAGTGAAACAAGTCTCCATCAGGGCGGCGCTGCTGCGCGAGTGTAGACCTCCAATGCTTCAGAGTACTCATTCCTTGGCTCAGATTTGAGATGAGGATAGATGAAGCACAAATGCGAGGGATGGGTCTGAGCTGTCGGCTTTTTGAAATGCTCGTTGCCCTTCATCTTGAGCTCCGTTGCTGCCGCTTGAGCTTCAAGCTTCCCTTCAGAGCAGTGATCAGCAGGGCAGTCAACAGCGCAGCAGCCCCTGCACTTTCTCGAAGATCCCGCGCCTCCATTGCTTTCGAGTGGCTCTTCGGCTGTTGGAACGTCTTGTGGAACCTCTGAAACCGACGGCGCCTGACAAAGGCGCACAACTGGTAAGCCCCGAAGCCCACAAGACCTTCATCAGGCATTACACATGAAGGTCGTGAGTTGATACACGGGAAAAACACCAAATCAAGTCGGGAAGAGAGCATTTGGGCACGTCGGCTCAAATCACGCGGCCAGTGTTGGACATCCGGTTATTTCCTTCTTTGGCATTTGCCGTCCAAGTCCGGACAATCAATCCGCCGAGGCCTCGGGCCATCGGTGTTGGGCAGCATAAAGCAGGCACGTGTTTTGTTTGGAATGGGTACCCCCCCAGACGACAGGTGTTTCGTTTGGGAGCGGACGGTGCATCAGGCAGGACCACGGCATTTGTGGCCGACCATAGGGCACGGACACCCAACCTCTGCTTGGCAGACTCTTCGCCCGGCCTCACCCACCTCCTTCCAACCCTCACCCCTGCCCCTGCCGCGCTCCCTTCTGCGTCTCCTACTCTGCCGAACTTTCTTCTGACAAAGCGAAAGAGAGAGAGAGAGAGAGACAGAAAAAAATAAAACAAAATGAATAAACAAATAAGACGTGAAACCTGAGCCGACCTTGCCTCGTCGCTGCAGTGGTAGCAGGTACCGGCCGAGGCGGCCCGCGCAGCGCTATAATTAAGCTTAGAATATTCAACAACAGCTACCAGAGCCCACAGCGTGGCTCACGAAACCGAAATCCAACGTGGCATTCCTGTTTCCATAGCAGGTGGAAAACAGATGAGAACAAAGCACAATTTCTGCCGGTTCAAAGATGATGCTCAGGTGGTCGAAAACAGATGTGAAAAACATCAAGCTCTCATTTGCAGAGAACTCTATTCACGCAAGATTGGTATTGCCACCACATCTCACACACAGAAAGGATTCAGTTCACCTGTTGATCGTATGGAAAAAACCTGGGTGCATGCCCTTGATCGAAAGTGAGCGGGACATGAAAATATTAGAAGCTTCCACGCGTATATGACTGCAACCTTGTTTAAGCCCAATAACACAAACCTAGCAGCTTGACACTTTATCACCGATCGATCGCATCATGCCTATCGACCTATCGTGCAGCCATGAAGGAAACCACAGAGAGTGCATGTTCCGGACTCCCCACCTACCCATCACAAACAATAACAGAGCCACATGAGCCTTCGCTAGGGGACATGCAAACAGCCATGAAAGAAGCAAATTTGGAGCGCGGACAACCGTTCCCGCTTACGGAGCCATAAAGGCCCAAGGCCCACCCATCCCCAGCATGCAAGGGACCCACAAAGAAAGCTAGGGGAGACCTACAGTAGCTCTTCCCATCCGCAACTTGCTCTCAGGAGAGGATCCAAAAAGGAAAGCCCTGAGCGCTCAGCAAAGCCATCTCTGAGCTTCTGGCGCTTTTGCCATTGTCAGGTCCTTCAGCTTGACCAAAATTATCTCTGAGCATCTGCAGCATCTCACCTTTACTCTGGCACTTGCCACAGAACTAAGTCCGGATCTGCGCCGTGAGCAGGAAAACGCTTCCCAAAGTCGTGCCACCACGCCCATGTTCAGGTCATGTCAGGCCTTCAGCAGAGAATCAACAGCGAATCTACAGGCTAAGCCCACCATGTAAGCTCTTCTGTTACCTGGTGCGAACCCTGCGGAGATGAAACTGAACAAACATGATTTGTCCTCCTTCATGTGGACGCAGCAGATACTCATGCTGCATGGCACTCATTTCAAGACTAGAATGATTTTTCAGAAGAATCAGGTGCCAAATGGAGGCTCGCGAGTGGCTGTCACAAATTTCTGTGCTCATTGTCAGCCTGAGACGTCGGCACAGGAACGGGCGTGTGGGAATACACAATTTGAGCCAACTTCTGCATGCAACCAGATCAGCAGTGAGCTTCACCACTTCACGACCATTCACTCATGACGCCCTGCACAAAAGCTGCTTTCTGCGGAGATGCCTTCAGCTTGCGAAAGCTGTCTCTACAAGTACTAGACTTCCATGAAAACGTGATGTGAAACACCCCACTTTGGAGGTATATTGGACTTACCAACCCAGAATCGACCTTGGCTTTTGGGCCTTCTTTTCAGACCTCAGCCCCAGCCAAGCCCGAAGTAGCTCCCGTGGTTCTGTCCAATCAACAAGTGCCACACGCGTCTCGCCCGTAATTCTAAACATCCTTTAGCCGCGCTGTCGACTTGGAAGTGGGTCAGGCAAGCACAAGATGCCGTGTGCTCACGTGGCACCTAAATTTGTTCACCAACTCTTCTAACAATTCACGACCCCTCGAAAATATGCTAAAGCATCGAAGAGTTAGATCCAGAGTCCAAGAAGATCTCCAAGGGAGAGGGACCAAGTTTCGCAGCCGCACAAAAGCACCGGATAGTTTACGAGGTTCGGACCTAGGGGGATGAAGTACCATGTCAACGGTGACAGGGGCAAGAGACCCTGCCCCTTCTCTTGTTCGGTGTTTGCCATTCCTGGTGTCATCCGCAATGGAGAGGACTTGCTTGCAGTTGTAGGATGCCAGCACAAGCAGCCGCATGTGGAGAGTAGATGCAGCAGCGTATTCATACGTATACGTCTGTGAAAAGGAAAGCTTCTTGTGTCGGCAGCCCTTCACGTCAAAATGCGTAGAAAGGTCGGCGGTCGGTTATCATTGTCAGGTACAGTTTGGGGCTTTGGGTCTGGTGAACATGTCCGAGTGCTGCGCCCATTGGGTAAGATGAGCGAAGCCTCCTGGAAAAACTGCAGGAGACCTTGGCAGGCTGACAGTCCCCATGCGGATGTGGCATCGGTGTGACAACTCCAAGCCTTCTTGTGCCACCTCAGTTCCTGTCCCAGATCCGTCAAAGCTCATTCAACAAACAGCTATGGATGCTCAGGCATGCCCCACCTTCAGCATTGAAAGCTCCACTCTCAGCTCTTTCGCGCTTTTCCTGTTCAAACGGTGCAACACACTGAGGTCTTTCCTTCTCAATCCCCATAGATCGGAGCAAACGCCGTGAGGCAAAGCCGCCCGGGCGGAAATATGCAGTGCAGCTGGCGAGACTTGTTGGATGGACGCCGGCAAGGCACCGGGAAGGGCTATGGAGCAGAGAATCAAGTTCAAGTAGCTCGAAAAGCTCGGCTGGTGCAATCGTGTTCAAGCACTACCACTACTAGATGCACGTGACTTGCCCAAAGAAGACACCATACGGTCAGCAGGACATCATTGCCATACCATTACTACATTCGGCACATTCGTTCCATTCAAGTGGCAGCCTGGATCAAGGCGTTGAGCTCCTTTCGGAGCTCCAAGTTGTCCTCGTATGGCGATTCTCCAGCCCAGTCCACAAAGTAGTCTGTGGTGTCAAAGGGTCCTCTAATGCCTGCTCCAGGACAGCCCCATCACCGGAGCTGGCAGCAGCACCTTAGGAAACATACTGATAAGAGACCAACAAGGGCTCGAAACCGGCAGAGTCGGAACTGACACTGAACTGACTGTCCAAAAGAGCTTGGGGCCGCCACGAACCTGGTCAAAGCAGAAAAAGATGATCCAAGTTTCAGCACAAAACGGGCCCTGCCTCTTTCAGAGAGCTAGACACATCCTCGGATTGGATGCAGTTCTGGACATTTCTTGAACAGATGCTATGAAATTCGTGGACATGCGTGGACCCACTCTACAATGCCCCTCATGCCAATCGCGGCACTCGCACGCACCACTCTTATTGTCTCATGTCTTCGTGGCTCTCGCCCTCGCTACTCAACTTGCAAAGTTCAAAAGCCAAAGATAGCCAATGCACCAAAACCGGGCCTGCTTACGCACTTGCGACTCACTTTCGTCCACCATGTCTGCGTGCATATCACATTGTCTGCGAGACATCCTGGATGACCTCTATGAAGCGCTACCGGCGCTTTCTGAGCGAGTGGTACATGGTAGGGGAGTAGCGAGGGAGTGAGTGCCTGGAGAGAGCGGGGTGATTGAGTTGAGTGGGCTTGGAATTTGTAATCAGACACAGCCATAGGAAGCCATGGAAAGCCCTAGACTGGCCCGGAGAGCAAAGGTTCAACTCACTCTTGAGGACTTTGGGGGGGTTGAAGGCGGAGGGCAATCTGGCATCTTGTGAACTGCAAATATATCTGTTGCTTTTTCTGGGATTGAGAAGGATCAAAGCTCAACTCGTTCTCTTCGGCTCCACTGAAGGCTTATACATCATGGCCGAGCGAGCTCGAAATTTGCAATGCCCCTGTTACCCTGTTCCTACCTGAAAGACAGCAGCTATGGCAAGGAAGCAAGTGAGTTCTACTGGCAGTGTGTTGGCCTTAGCTTTGGCGGGCTTCGGAAGAAACAAACAATGGCGTATATAAAACAATTCCAACACGTGATGCTCGAGCATATAAACCCTGGCACAAGTTGGAAACACAGGCGGCACGTACAGATTTTTGAATGCACTCGAGATTGGGGAACTTTGCAGTTCCATCATCAGGAGAGGCACAACCGCATAGGCTCCTCAACGAACGAACGAGGTACGCGAGGCAGGTTTGCGCCGTTTCAACCTCGTTGCAGCCCTCAGCCGTATTGTGATTTGTTACGATGTGTCGTGATGACGACTCATGACGACTTGGGCTGTCACGGGTTCGGCCTCAACAGGCTGTTGACAACAGCACCCTGCCGCAATTGCCGAATAGTGCCGACCAGGGAGATTTGCTCGACGAGGATGTTTCGGAGAGGCAAGTGGGAGTGCACTTGCTTCTCCTGGAGAGCGGCTAAACAGTTATCACCTCTGCAGGTGAGCCACCTGGAGAGCCCGCTCGGACACTTCGAAGATCTCGTGCAGTCCATCGAACCGCCTTAGCAGTTCAACGCGAGAAACAACACCAGATGCGCAATGGACACTTGCAAGACCATTCTCACTCTCTCTCTCTCTCTCTCTCTCTGTCTGCACACTTATCACTGACAGCAAAACCACGCACACATGAACGGCCACACCTAGTCACACAGAAAATCACAGAAATATGCCGGGGCAGTAGCCCGGATCCCGAAAGCCGAACTGGCTCGGTCGCGGCCAGCTCCTGAGAGTTCAGCGAAGCCGCGATGGCAGGCAGCTGGTAAGCGACAGGCGGCGACAGCCTGCCGCTTCATGTCCGCGATCTTTAGCCCGGCTTCATCCTGTTCAGGTCTCCCACAACTCAGGCGGGAAGGGGGTTCCATGAACAGGGGTTCCGAGACTGGCTTGAAAACTGCATCTACATGAGCAGCCGTAAAAAGTCATAGGTAAGTCTGTAAGTGCCAACTAACAGTCGTTTTGGGATGACCATGTTACGTTACAAAAAAAATGACTTTCTTTTCTGGGGCTCGCTTTGCCACATTTCTGTCACAACATTCAGCACAATAACAAAGCGATCGCTCACATGAGTCGATCCGCTACTACACGGCTACACTCATTGCGGGGACAAGCACCCTGCTCGACAGCTCTACCATCAAAAGACGGTCGCAAGTCTGCAGTGATTCTAGGCGCCGGACTACACCGCCAGGTTTGCTGCCTGGCTCGTGCAATCTTCCTCATGACTGTGAATAAGCTGGGAGCAAAAAGTGTGATTATGATGTGTTAAAACGTGTTAAAACTCATTTAAACCGAACAACCGAAAAACAAAGCAAAACAAAAAGTAACAATAAAAACATCTTACAAGCACACTATGGAACCATGGGGTCGAGCACTGGTCGAGCATTGCGGTTAGCATCCGTTGCGGCTCAGCCATGCACCTTACGAAACCATGCGTTTAGCAGGCACACTGCCACCATTGACGATTTTGCCCGGCCAGTGGTCCAGTAGTGTTCTTGCGCACTTACACGGTGAGAAACTCACTTCAAGCCTGGGGAGCAGAGCCGGCTTTCCACCAAAAGGGTTAGCCTCTGGGAACGGGCTACGGCATGCCATGGCCCGAGCCTTTAGTTCGATAGACGGCGGTTCGCAGTCTATCCTAGCGTTATCGTTCCTTACCGTTGATTATCGTTTTAAAGGGTCTGGTGGAACAGCCCACAACTTCACGGCTTAAAACAGGAATGAACGTTTCGGTGAGCCTGCCATGACTGCTACTACAAACTTCGACGTTCTCGTGAGGTGGCTGGATTGTCATGAATTTGTAGTGCAAGCTTAGTACTGGAACCGACGTTCCCGTGAGCAGGCGGAAGTTTCATTCATTGATTTGTAGTACAAACTTTATAATCGAGATTTGTAGTACAAGCTTAGTACTGGAACCGACGTTCCGGTTAGCCGGAAAGGCTTTCATTGATGTGCAGTACAAGCTTAGAAAACCGGCTGGAGTTTCATTGATTTGTAGTACAGGCTTAAACATGAAACCGACGTCCTGAGCTGGCTAGAAAACTTCATCGGTTTGTAGTACGAGCCTAAATGAGAAGCTCAACTTCAGTAACATTAGCAACATCATCAATAACAACATGGACATCAGAATCAACACCATCATCACCCTCATCAGCATCATACTCATCATGATCCTGCTCGTCCACATCCAGCTCCCCTCAAACAGAGAACTTGTCCATAACAAAACCCCCTAGACTAAGAGCCCCCTGTTGTCCAACAAACTGTCTCTCCACACTCAGTCAAAGCTGAACGTCACCTGCATCTCCATGAAGAGATCTGATCATTCTGGCTCGGCTGTCGGACTGCCGGGACAGCAATTGCGTGCAGCTGCATGTAGCTGCCGTGGTGGGGATGTGGGCATTGCTGAGCAACGACACATCATGTCGTTGACTCTGTGACTGTGAACAGCTTCAATGATTCATGTTCGGGCCTGCTGTTGTCTGTTCATCGCCAGCGTCAAGTCCTGCGCCGGAAACGACGTCCAAATATGTCAAACTCAACTGACTTCAGACTCGGACCCGTCCTGGGTAAGGTGGACGAGCTTGCGCTCGGTCTCATCCCGTGAATTCAGCAACTGCCGGGGGTGTTCAAAGCAACCGCATAAGAACTTAAGCTAGTTGTGAATACTGACTCTACGAGAATAAAGACATCGGTGTTTCTCGACCCTTAGCTAACTCACTTCATGACTTTGGCACAAAGATGCACAAAGCCCTCAGCGGCCACACGTGCAAATGCGGCCAGCACGGGCGCGGCCTGCAATCGCTTGCGCTGATTGGAAGACTTGAAGTGGCTGATGTCGTGGAGCTTCGTTTCAAGAGTTCGTCGAGTCCTGAACCCACAAGCCGGCGGGCACAAACGCCCTCGTGTTCGCTACAGGTGTTCCGAGTGTTTCTGAGAGTTGGACGCAGCAGTGTCTCCCTCTTGGTCTTTCCGAGCCTGACGTACATGCTGCAGGCTTCCGATGAAATAGTCCCGTGAGCTCTGTATGTTTGCTGTGTCCCTGGTCGCCTGTCTCTTCTATATTGCTGCAACATCTTTTTTGGTGCTTCTGAAAAACACAGCATTGGCGGAGGCGTTCTACACTTGCTTCCAGATGCTGCTCTCCAACAGGTGTTCTGGCTTGAGGTTCGGTCGGCAAACCAACAAACAAGTAGAAACAATGAACTGGAAAGCTAGCCTTCCGCTAGACGCTGCTGGTCTTCGAGTCTTCGCGCCTCTAGATTTCTAGCTGTCTCGGTCAGGGCAGCATCTTGCTGATCGCAAACTGTCAACCTCAGGTTCAAAGTGGTGCAAGTCGCTCCATGGCCAAACAGCTCACAGCTCAAGTAGAAAGTTCACCTCCCTCAAGTAAAAAAAAGAAGATCCTGCACTGAAAAGCCAGCTCATCATACACAGAGGGGGGCCTCGACTGTGCTTCAAATCACATTAAGAGCTGAATTGACCTTAGCGACCAACCTTAGCCTTAAATGTTCTTTTTGTTGAGTTTTGTTGAGTTGCTGCCTTGATTTTCCGCGGTGCTTTCTGGATAAAATGAAGGATGACCAAGTCTGTTCTTGAGACTCAAGCAGGTGCGAGATACTTTCGGCGCGTTCGGGCAGGTTGCACTGGGATGACCTAGTCCGGCCGAGCTCGGTTGGACACCCGCAACAAGTCCACTGCCTGAATGCCTGCGCCGAATTTTTCAGACGCACCTGCGCTTCAGGAACTGTTCAATCTCGGCGATTTGCCTTCAAACGTCAAAAAACACCATTGCGAGCTAATGATTTAGCTTTGCCTTTGTTCAAGGCTCTGCCACGGGAAAAAGTTCAGCCCGCCGAAATTTCAAGTCACCTGTTTGCTTTCTGCACAACCGGGATTGCCTCAAGGAGTGGCTTTAAGCAACTGATTCGATTTGTCAGCCACCAATTCGTTCTGTGAGGATCGGGAAGGAAACTCACCTTTGACGAGTCTGCGACAACGTGCGTCGGTAGTGCGCAGAACGCTGTAGAACACTACTAGAACTACTAGACCACAACTAGAACACTACTAGAGCACTATCAAATACGATCAACATGCAGCACATCTGTTGGCAGCTGCGCCCTGTGCCCGCGACTCCCTTTTCATTCGAGCCAGCTCCAGCCGGTACGTGCTCAGCCTTGGTTCACACATCGGCGCACCAGCTCCCCTTCATCCTTGAGGCCCTGGTGTAACATTGCGCGGGACAGATGGTTTTTTCAATGTCCGCTTTTGGGCCTCTATAGCATTGCTATGCATTGCTCCCAAGCACAACGTTGCCTCCACAACTCCCTGCATTGCGTTAACAGCCCTACTCAAGAAGCAAGCTTGTGCATGCAGCCTTGATGCAGCTATCACAAACAAATTCTACAGTTGGGTAAGCTGTCTGCTGCTTTTGGAGGTCATCCATTTGGTTCTCGAGTTCCTGCAATCAGCACGGCCAAGGGTTAGGCACAGCACATGTCGAACATGTCGAACTGCCTTCTTCTGTTTCTGAAAGTCGTTGTTTAACTGGCGGAGCTCCTGTCACACAGCCATTGGCATTGCAAAAGCCATCCGCAAGTGAACGGTCCTCGACATCAAAGTCATCTTGGTTACCTGACCCGAAGTCTGCACAGAATGGCAGGGACGGTCATGGAACAGGGATCAAAGAAGCAATCCAAAAGGCCAAGCTTAAGAGGAAGACTTCAGAGGAAGACTTGTAAGCTTGCAGGCTAAGTCGCGGCTGGGTCTGTCAGCTGCATCAGCCCTGGACATGACAGGAGATTGACAGGTTGCCGAGGAACTGTCTTCGTTCAAGGGATGTCAAGAAAAATCCAGCACATGACCATTGAGACTTGCCCACGCCATAGCATGACAGCTGGGATTCTTAGGGAGCTCCGCGCCTCTTCATACGACGCACTGACACCAACTTGGCACAGGAAGTTGTGACTTTCGACATTCGTGTATCAGCTTGTTCAGCTGGTGCATTGTGCGAAAGCTCGGGTTCAGTTTGGGCTCACACCTGCGAAGATCGGCTCTTCAAGGAGGTTATCAGACTTGCCATGTCGTCTTCAATGTTCAGCTTCCTGTGGTCCGAGCATGTTGATCTTGCTCCGATCTTGCTTCGACTTTGGGTGCTTTTGGGGCCGCCGCGCAACATTGCAGGCAAGCGTGTCCTGCCAGGAAGACCCAAACGAGGTCAAGATGGTCAAGACCAAGAGATGTCAAAGGTATGGGCGGATGGCCGGTCGATCATTGGTCTGCATATAGTCTCCATGTTCAACCTATACAAAGTACAAAGGCAAGGTCAGGTCCTTGTACACAGAGACCTCCAAGGCTCAAAGATATTCACAGCATTGACACACCAAATGTCACACAGCTTGAAAACCCCTTGCAGACCTGATCCGGCCCGGCATCCTCCATATACAGCTCCCGAGGAAGGGTTTTGATGCAGACGGGGACCTGGTGGAACAAATTGGAACAATGTTGACTCACATCTGCCGACGCCTCGGGCCGCACGGGTCTGGGCAGCGGGTAGCACGAAGCAGGCACCCCACCCGAACCTTTCAAGACCCCTCCCTCCCCCTGACTTCCTTCCCCTTGCAACTACCCCCTAGCCCTTGCTGGCGCGGTCCTGCAGATGCTTTTCTTGGAAGGACGCGCGTGACACATCGCATGCCTTCTCAATCCGCCGAGGCCTTGAGCCGTAGGTGTCCGGGTAGGGTGCATCAGGACCAGGGGCGACATGTTGGCCACACCTCGCTACACCCCCCGCCCCCTCGCCTTTCCCCAACCCACCCTCCTCCCGCACCCCTCTATACTCGCCTCGTGCCTCACCACCCAAACCCAGCTGTCCTTGCCTGCTAGTGTCACCACTCCCACATTTGGGGTGTGCTAGAAGAGTGTCTTCAAAAGGAGCGATTGCAGGGGACCCGGCCGAGGCGGGTCGCGTAGCGACAACATTAGAAATCCTTAACCTGAAGGCTCCACAGCCACGAGGCGTTAGTTGCTCGACAACAGAACGGTCGAGAGCATTGAAAGCGCAGTCAAATCAGTCAAGAGTTGGACTTGCGAGCTGGAGGCAACCTGACTGCGCTGGCGCATCCGATGCGAGTCGCATGCGCCCTACCTTCAGCGCAACCTTCTAAACCTACCAAGACGGTAACTCCGCTCAGGCGCTCTTGCGGAAGCAGTGTATGTCCAGCACAGCACCAGCAGCGTGTCCCAGAAGCGCACTGATCGATGCAAATGACCCGAAAATGAGCACCAGGAACACTACTCCGATGAAAGCACCACACTCTCAGCAAGAACATGTGGCGCAGGATGGCGCAGGTGAAGGACGCATTAAGCCTCGGAAAGCCTGGGAAGATGGGCCGCCGGGAAATGCGGTCAGTGTGGAGCAAGAAGGAGAAAAGATCACAGACAGGCAGCTAATGTCGGGGACACTCTGAACGAAAGCCTGTAGATCTGTGCAGGCGCGAGGATGGGAGTCGATGGCTGCTCTTGCAGGCACAAGCAGTCTGGGAGCTTCTGCTCCAGACAAACTGCGCCACTCGAAACATGGAGGTACAGTGATCGGCAAAGAAAAGCCCAGCTGACAGCAACAGACGTGGGGACCCCGGATGACGCCGGCATACCCCGGCTAACAGCCTGCAGCAGACGTGGGGACCCGCAGAGGCATGATAAGTACATATAAGTACACTGCAGCAAAGGCTCATCAACCGAAGGCAGCGGGTGGTCACTGGTGGCAGCCAACCACAAGGTATCTTTTTTCTTTGTGTTTCTTTGCAATTAACACCACAAGATTCCAAAACTATACTTTGCAATCCTTTACATTTGGTTAACAATAATTCATGGCAACAACATCCCTTTCTGCTCCCACCCGAGCGGTTCTACTGCGGAATGCTGAGAGCACGGCAGTACAAGTTTCTCCTTTCTCGTATTTCTTCTGTGCTCCAAGGATGTAGTAGCCTGCATGCGCTGTCCCAAGCGTTCCATCTCCAACACAGCCAAGCGAGATTAAACCATGCCAAGCAGCTGATAGCACCCCAGACGTACACCTCAGTGTGTCCAAGTGTCAGATGCTCTCCGGAGAAACTGTCAACCTTATCGACCTCACTGTCGGTCTACTTTCGGTCTCGCCTCTCCGCGCACAGTGACGCAGGCGGAGCTTTCAGGACCACAGCTGCAGCTGCGGGCACAGAAAGAGGACTCCTTCGATCCAGCCAAGAGACACACGTCATCAACACTACAAAGAAAAAGTCATGAACTTTCCACCGCAACAGCCGTATGGCTCCTGGCCCTCAAAGTGTTTTACAGGCGTCGGTGCCGTGACTGCCTGTAACACAGACCGCATACCACAAGGACAAATAAAGTCTAGGTGCTGTCTAAGCATGAGACGAGTTCACTGGCTGGTGCAGCTGCGCTAAATCCGTCGACACCGAGCTGACCAGCCTGAAATCTCAAGGAAGTATGTCCGAAATGTTCTGGAAGATTCCGTGCAAGCCTTGTTGTTGCCCCATGCAAAGAGTGCTCCTCTTTGCGTGAGTGCAAGACAATGGTTCCTGGACAGATCACATGTGAAAGAACTGCATCTGTGAGTCACCGCTTCAGCAGCAGCTCATGGCTCATGAGCAGCGTGCTTTGAGACCCACGAGGATTTACGCGATGTGACGCATATTTGCAGTTGAAGCTCAACCCACAAGCGATCTGGACGACAATTTCTTGCCTGCAATGCGTGATGACGGCTGATGAAATACTCTCTATGTACATTTTCGCGGACACTGCTGAGCGAGGCGCTTGATACCACCGATGATAGGGGCCGGCTTCAGCATTTTGTCCTAGGCGCAGAGGCGCAATGACTGCACAAAATTGCAAATACATGTACATACTGTACTTTGGTACAAACTTATGCCGAAAAGCCTGGTTGTGGCAGGCTCGGCCCAGCTGCCCGTGCTCGTTGTCGGTACCCCTGGCGAAACCGAGAATTTAGCAACAAAATCTAACCTCCCTCTCCCTAATCTACCAGCGTGAGTGAGAGATCTTCTCACACACAACCAGTTTCTGTAGAAAAGGCGGCTTTGAGCCATCTGTTTGCGCGAGTAAACCGAGAACCAGCGCTTTTTTAGGCTGCATCCCCATAGTTTTGGACAGACGCTGTTTTTGGATTTTGTGGTTTTCCTGGACAAGAGATGGTCTCTGGGCTGGTCTCTTGGTCTGGATAGGCAGTCGGCAACAACCGGGTCCAGGCAGGGCTGAGGGGCTGAGGACTTCATCTGCTTGTGAGCTCGAAACTCCTAGGACCTAGGAGGCGCTACCTGCCTCCTCGAGGTGTCACCTCTTCTGTCCCGGGCCAAAGGTGGGATTCCCTGAAACAACCAGTTGCCCTAAAGCACGAAAGCGACAACACTTTTTTTTACATTCTGCTTTGTTCCAATGTCTAGTCCAGTGCTTAGATTCGACTGGGTTCAGCTTCGATACAAGTCGATGGCATTATGTTAGTTCATGCGAAAATATGCGGCGGAAGTTGCATTATTTTCATAGCGGAGGGCATGAGTTGGGAGGAAACCCTATGCTTGCACATCGGACTTGGAAGGGTTGTCAAACAATGCTCCAAGGAAGACTAAAGCAAATGCCGATATCCCTGGGAAAACAACGAAAAGCAAAAAAAGCCTGATAGGAGCCACGAACCCGAATGCAGAAAGCAGTCGCCTATAACGTAAATATAACGCAATATAAACGAAACGTCGGTGCGCGGGCGGAAAAGACTTTTTTTTCGCACGGTTCAATCGGATCATTCACTGTGACGGGAAACCGCGACTGCGGAAAACCACGGGACGGTATGACCGCAATGGGATCATTGTGCATGAAGTTCTTGCGTAGTCGAACCCACATCTAACCCACCCGCACCCCACCGACCCTCACCCCGCCCACCCACATCCCACCCACATCCCACCCACCCACACCCACCCACACCCACCCACACCCACCCACCCACATCCCACCCACATCCCACCCACCCACACCGACCCACCCACATCCCACCCACCCGCATCCCACGCACCCACACCCCACCAGGTGCCACTACCACCACCAAGTACCACCACCACCGCCACCACGGCCTTCACCACCACCGCCACCAAGTACCACCACCGCCGCCACCAGGTACCACAACCACCGCCACAGGCACCACCAAGTACCACCACCAGGTACCACCACCGCCACCAGGCACCGCTACCACCACCAGCAGGTACCATACCACCGGGTTCCACCACCACCACCACCAGGTCCACCATCACCACCAGTCCACCCACTCACACCCCACCCACCCACATCCCACCACGAACACCACCACCACCACCACCACGGACCACCACCACAGACCACCACCACGTACCACCACCACGAACCACTACCACGGGTACCACCGCCACGAGGTACCACGGACCACCACCACACACTACCACGAGACCACCACCACGGACCACCACCACGGACCACCACCACAAACCAGCCGGACCACCACCGCGGGACCACCACCGGGACCACAAGCACGGGACCACCACCACGGGGCCGCCGCCACGGGACCACAAGCACGGGACCACCACCACAGACCACCACCATCCACCACCACCACGGGACCACAACCACGAACCACCACCACGGACCACCACCATGGACCACCACCACGGACCACACCACCACGGACCACCACCGTGCACGGGACCACCACCGTGCACGGCATCCTGTGGAGTTCCCCCTGATAGCTTGAGGGATTCGGAACGCCGCGGAACGCCACGCGGAACGCCACGGGGACACGCATCCTGCGGAATTTCCCCTTAACAGCGCGCGTGACGCCACTCGCAAACGCTTGCGAACGCTTGCGGACGCTTTACGGACGCTTTACGGACGCTTTACGGACGCTTTACGGACGCTTGGCGAACACAATGCAACGAAGTTAGGGAACCTCCCAACCCCCAGACCCCCAACTTTAGAACGGGAACCCTTCTGGGAGCATTCGGGAACAAAGGATAGGCCCTCGGTTTTAAAAGCGAGGATAAGAAGAGAAAAAACGCGTGGAGTCAGAGGCTCATCCAGCTGCTGTTCCATTGTTCTTTAAAGAACAAGACCCAACTCTCGACATATCAACGAAAGATCAACAAGGACAGTGCCGTGTCATGCACAAGTTTCAAGCCAAGTCCCAATCACAATTGAAACATGCCAACGAAGGTCATCATGCCAGGCTGTCCAGCTGTAAATGACCCCTTCATCAGTCAGGAGCATGGCATGGGATTTTCCAACGGCGACCTCTCCAACAAACAGCTGAGTTTTCAAAGTTTCCAAAGTAGCTGATTCTGGCCAGAGCCTGCACAACGAAGGCATGATTGTCTGCTGGAGCTGCCTGCATGCATCAGCAGAGACAGCTCAAGCTGAAACAGGAGGAATCACACCCACTACATCAATTGAGGAATCCACGGGCAGTGACCGCACTGACATCAGGATATATACGGCTTTACCAATATCCAACAATCACAGACCAAGCATGGAGGCCATGTAGCCACTGGCTTGTGTACTTGGAACAAGCCAACAAAAGTCTGCTCATAATCTGGCCAGCATATTGGTCTACCAGCAACACGATCACTGATTTGCAATACTTCGTGTGATTATGTCGCTTAATCTTGAACCCCGAAGCTTGCAAGCGCGTCTGGAGAGGTTCATGCAGCAGGCAGCAACATGTCGATTCCACATTAGACCGGCAAAGGTGCCATGTTCCAGACATTCCACTTTGGATTCCACTGCATGCCCTCTGCTATCCGTTGCTGTCACGCAAACTCTGCACATTCGTGCGTCAGCATGTTCTGTTTGCGTCTGTCCATGTGTCACATAAGCCTCTCCAAGCTGAGTCTTGACAAACGCAAACGACATGTGCTAGGTGGATTTCGTTAGCCAGCTCAATCGGAGTGCAGCATCATCACCTGCCGCAGGTTCAGTGGCTGACACAAGCATTAATATGAAACACTCTCCTTGGTTTAGTCGAGCCTGCTTCAGTGCAACGCCGCACCGAGTCGTTCACTCCCTGCACCGTGGGCCTTCATTCGACCTGATGAAGAGGCAGTATTTGGCGGTCTCACAGTGTATGTCACTGCATGTATCAACCCTCCGGAACATGCCGGAATGCCTTCTCCAAGCGCGGTGCATCAGTCTATCTTGATGGAACCTGATGAACGGCGCACTGAGATCAATGAGATCAAGGTCTGGCTTGAATTTGCCAAGTCTGCCGCCGTAGATGGTGCGCACAAAGAAGAATGTTGCGCTAAACCTGTTGTCAAGAAATTGCATAGATGGCTGGCCTTTGCCTGCAAAGGCCAGCATGACTGGTCCGTCTCTCACTCTCCCTCCTCATCCAGCACAACCTTTCTCTTCCTTTCCTCTGCACGCTCGATCATGCGCGGTCTCTCCCTCTCTCAGCGCAGAGCCCAATGGCGCCCGTGAGCAGCGCAAACGTATAGGAGATAACAAACCTTGGCCACCCAGCGCAGCATACTTTCCACATTGCTTTCATCCGCCAACAGTAACGGACCGGATGTGTCCCTGGCATGTATCCGAAGTACAACAACGCGCCCACGTAGTGGCCTATCCTGAGCAAGTATGGACCAGCATGGAGCTTGCAGAAAACACAAATGGCAAAGACGTGAACCGTGATACTGGGGTTCTGGCTGCATTCGAGTGAAATAATACAAGCCTTGCATCTTGACAGGCGTCATCAACGCAGAAGTGATCGACGAAAGCTTGGGCAGGTACACGAATATGCAAAGACATACAAGGCTGATGATGCACTTGTGAGAAAGGATCGCCACCACCAGTTATAGTCCTGACTCACATGGTCACTGCAACTGGAGCACACAGGCTGGTCAAGGCTTTCTTAGCGCACCTCGTTTGTCAGCTGGAAGTAAACAAGCGTGATGGAAATCTCCGCGCATGTTACTACCAAGATAACAAGGACCAGCATGAGGAAGCCAAATAGATAGTAGAACCTGGCCCACAATGCAGCCTTTCAAGCAAACGACAATCTTCACCGGGGCGTCGCGACCAAGGGCGCGACTGATGCTGCCAGATGGAGGACATGATGAAAAAGAGCTCAGTAAAGACCTAAGCCAGACACGGCCAAATGAAACCGGGCGATATCGAGATATCAAGCCTGCATCAAGCTCTTGCAGTCATGGAACACCAGCGAACGGAAGCACGCCACCAATCAGGCAGGAGAACACCTCGGCATCGGCAACAAAAAGTCGTCAGTCTTTGTGCTTACTTGTGTTGGAGGAACTGCAACAGGGTGAGATTTGTGCTTGCCCCCGTTTGACTTTTTGTTGCTGCTCCCGTTTGGATGGCGGCAGGGGCGGCGGTGAGGGGTTGGGGGGAGGGGGGGGGGGCGGCAGCTCCTTGAATTTTCATGGGAAAACACTCTGTTCCTGTATTCGCTTGCTACCCCCCACGGCCATTTGCAAACAGCCATTTGCTCGTGCGACGGGTCCGCGCGTTTCAGCGTGGGCTTCTTGTGCAGCTCCGGACCCGTTGCACCAAGGCCGGGTCGACTGCAGCAGATATCACAAGCCACGCGGCTTGAAAAGATGCCTATGAAGTTATTTAATAGCAGCCCGCCGTCATGCGCCGTCTGCCAGCATAACATTCGTTGGTTGCACATGTAACTACGTGCGGCAATCTCATACGTATGATCGCGCGTCGCCATTCGGGTAGTCAGCGCCACTCCCAGCCCACCATAAAAAACGCTGCTGTACTCACAAGACATGTTGATGCACAAGCATCCTAGCAACCATCAGGCACATGTTCGAAATGGACTCTGAATATATGTCTGAGAGAAGCACGCCGGTGATGTACCAGGGCTGGGCAGGGATCTGCCGTGGGATTTGGTTCGTCCGCACTGGCAGGGAGATGGGCGCCTTGGACATGGTCAGTGCTCTGTAGAGGCCTGTAAGCGCCTGCAGCGTTGGCAAAGTCTCCGAAAGCTGCGCACCTTCTTGTAGCCGAAGAAAGCTCCCAGGAAGACCAAAGGCACAGAAATTCCGAACCTGCCAACTGAAAGCACAACAACATCAACAACGACAAAGAAGCACCTCATGCGGTGGAAGCCATGGAAGCTTCTTGATCCGTATGCAATATGCTCAATGTCAGCCAGTGACACCACAATACCAGAAGCGCAAACATTGTCGTGAAAGGAACAGCGCCAGACGATCGCGTTCCTGCCAAAGAGACGAGAATCAAAAGCTAGCATTGTGCATAATATGTACTTGCTATAGTAGCGAAGAATACTAACTAGCTAGTAGGAGGCATTGCCCGGAAAGTGGGAAGTTCATGCACAGATGTGTCTGCCACATTCCGCGCCTGCAAGATTCAAAGTAGCAGGCCATAGCAATCCATAGCAGCTACAGCAGGCACATGCAGGCGAGCAGCCCCAGATGAAGAGATCCAGCACAAAGAAAATGCAGAAGACAGTCCCTGGGTACCTGAGAGCAGTCTGAGCTCTCATCGCTGCCGAGCTCCAGGGCTGAGAGAGGCGCAGCAGTGCCGTCAGGAGAGTGGTCTTCTTCCAGTCCTCTGAGAACGATGGGAACGATGGGAGCTGCAGCTGCCTAGGGTCTAGGATTTCGTACAGCTGTTGCCTCTCCCTTCCACATCTTGTAGAAGCGAGCAGACGTGTACCCTGTCAGGGGATTTTGTTAAAAATCTCATGAGGCATCAAAGTCAGAGCCTGCCAATATGCCAGCGAAGGTGAAGAGCAGAAGCATACCCTGCAGCGAAGACCCTATCGCTTCGGCAACACAGAAATTCACGGAAATACAGGTAAAGACATCAGCCTGGAGGATGGAACCGCGGTGAACCGGCGACAGAAACCCCACAGCTGAGAAAACCAGCGTGACGCAAGAGCACACCAGGAGCTGGACCTTGGTCACAAACCAATCGGAGGGCGAAAGAGCATAAAATGAGCGAAGCCCACAAATCGAGATTCTTAGCTCTATCACCTTTCTGCAACACACTTCATCAAGGATGATCCGTCTTGCTTCTCTCTTTAAAGAAACGAGTGCTGATGACAGCGCTGTCCCCACAGCACATGTTCAGTACTTGAGGTATTGACGCCGGAGCCGACAGAGACAGCCAGTGCCTGTGCAAGTTCGTCATACCCCTGTGCCTTGGATGCCGTATCCGATTGCCTTTGAGTGCGGTGGCTTTCTGAACACGTCGCCGTGAACGAGCTTCCAGCCAGTCTCCTGGCATGCAATGCAGTAACCACCTGGCAAGCACCTGGCAAGACCTGTCAAACCTGTTTCCAGATTTTTGCGTCAGTGTCTTGCTTTATGCTCTTTCTTGCTTCTCCACATTCTCCTCGCCCTGGTCATCTGCTTCCATGTCATTGTATTTGGCAATGTCGCCTTGAAGCGCAACACAGAGCAGGTTACAAGCATTTGACCAACCACATCCAACCACTGAGTAGCACCACAAAGCAAAGAAGAAGCAAGAGCACAGCTTGACGCTCTAGCTTTAACATCTTTTCTGGAGCCAAGAAGCGATGGAGCGTTCTCAACAAGATCATGGCCACCATGCCTGAGAGGAAGAGAACCTGGCAAAAGCGACCGTGTTCTAGGCAGTTCTGGATCAACAGAAATCTTGCTGGAGCAACGATCATCAACGAGTTGATGATGGAGAACCTGCACGGCAGAAGGACGTGCTATCCCAAATGTTCAACGGCGAGCATGTGCTGTAGAAACACGCTTTGTATCTGGATGTGCGAGTTATCGCATCTCTCAGGCTGTCGCGGCCTATAAATCTCCCCGCCCTCCTGCAGCTTTACCACCCCCCCGGAAATTACTATCTCTCGCCCCACAAGTGAATCCATTTTGCTGTATGTGTTGAAAACACCATGCAAACTTCCTCGCAGCTGACACACATGACATGGATTTAACTTCTCATCCACAAGTGGGACTGGTTGTGAGGCTGCCCTGTACAATGTATACAAAGGCAAAGATCAAGTCCATGTGGTTGATACAGAATACGTTTACGGTTTACGTGCATTGATGCGGAGAGGTTCGCATTTAAGTTCAAGACCTGACCAGCAGGGCTCTGCTCGAAAGACGAATGATATCATCAGGCACCCGCAGCGCGCCATCCTGGGAACTGTGCTCGCTTTTGGCGTTTGGTTTGCTTTCGTACGAGGATGAAGCGCCAGCGTAGCGTCGTGACTTCTAGGGCTTGCGCATCAAAAGTGCTGGCAGTTACGAGGATGAGGCCCCCGGGTGCGCCATTAACTGTCGTCACTGTTGCTCACAGTTACAAAGATGAGGCATCCGCAGTGCGATATGTCTACATTACATCTTTGCACGCAACTCATGCTCCAGATTTACATAACTAAAAGTCGGCGCGAGGGCCGCAGCCGAGTTGCTGACGCTTCAGACTGCACTGAAGGTTTATAGGATCTGGGTCACGGGTTTTTTGGTCGGCTTAACGTTCACCCGGACTGTATGCGACTTGCCGCTGGATATAGTATTCTTCTTGTATCTGTACTTAAGTTCGCACTCGCGTTTGCGTTTTGCACGTGGGCTCTGAAATCCTCGCGGTTCGAAGGTCGGCAACCGCAAAAACCATTAATTAAACAACACCCCTCGACAACGAGGCCTGCAGTCTGGGTGCACATCTGTATTAGCATGACCACGGTTATAGCTCCCCATAGCCGCTGTCGTTGTTGTTGGTGCTGTTGTTATTGGCACTTTTTGTTGCTGTCGTTGTTGTTGTTGACCTTGATGGCCTAAACCCTATCCCCCTCCCCCCGCCGCCCGCCCTGCGGTCCCTTGCACATGCTGAGTCAAGCACCAGTGGATCTGACCCTCGTGCATCTTCCTGGCCCGACAGAGTTAAGACGCACTGCGTTCCTACAACAGACGGCAACGGGCCGTAGCAGCTCACTGCAACTGAGGCACAGATAACTGTCCCAGCGGGAAGCCCAACGGATAGGACTTGGAATCCATACCTGGCACAGCGTCTCATGCCCTCACTGCTTCTGAAACACCATGGGAACATCTCAGCCAGGGGCAACGTCATAGCTGTAGATAACACTGACCTCCTTTGTCAGATCCTCATGTGCCAAAGAACTCAGAGAAAGGCTCAAAATCATCAGCAACACAGGCCATCTGAGCCCGCCACAAAGCGCGGAACAGGATCATCCAAGTCCCCGCAGGTCAGTTTGCCGTCTCCCCTGCTACAACATTATTTGACTGATGCCGCGAAGAGGTTTTCAAAATAACCGTGCGCCTTTTCTCCTGTTGGAGACTCAAAGGAAATACCTGATCAGACGAGAACGTTCCAACTGTACTGCACTAGCAGACAGAGATCGTCACGTCGCCTCAAATCCAACGACCCTGCTGCCCTCGAACTCTTCAGAGTTGGAGTGATAGTACAACCTGAAACATTGAAACGACGTGACATTGGACAAGCGGACATGTGATGTGGAAACACCACCAGTAGTTGCCGGCCGCACAAATGAAGCTCAGAGCCACCAGACTTGGCGGTGAAATGCCGTAAGCGACTGGCCCTATCTGCACGTGGTTGTGGACGAAGTAGCTGGCAACAGTCAAGTTTGGCTTGTAAAGCTGTGGCAGCAGGTTGCCGCACGTTAGCGCGGCGCAGATTCTTGCAAACATGACAAGATACCTGCCGTCGACCTTCAGGCCAACAGGAAAGCCGTTTGTGTACCTCGCATGCAAGTGACCTAATCGAGGTGGCCATTACAGTATAGAACTTCAGAAGATCATGCAAAGACGACGACATATGAACACAACGTGTAGCGGCACGAGGTTGCACCGGTGCTGGTCTTTTGGTACTTCATCGTCTGAGGAAGCGGGATGTACCGGCCAGATAGCTCGAGATTGGAAGGCTGGGGCAACAACACCAGGCAAGTTGTCCACTAACCAGTTCACCTCGAGACCACACATGCTTGTGACAGGAAAAGCTACCGATTGTATGAACAGTCGACATCGAGTTTGGCCTGGTATTCATGGTCGATCATGCGCTTGAACACACTCTTCTCCTATCAATCAGCTCGCACACAGAGTAAACACATACATTCAAAGACCGAGCTTGCCAATAAGAAACCTTGCCACTTACTTACATTGCTGGTTGCATTTGCATACCTGAAGCAAAAGCACCACTTGACTCGTTTGAAACTACTGCTCCTCTTCGCCCAGCATCCGTTCACAAACCATGGCACACGATACGTTGACCTTCATCCTGCATCCAGCACGAGCACTGTGAAGATCGCGAATGCTGCTTTGCTCTGAGAACTCACCGTTGCAGATTGAATGCCTACCCACACACACACACACACACACGCGCACACACGCGCACACATGGTTCGGAATGGATGCGCCCTCGAACCTGTGCATGGGTGCCGCAGGAGTAGGGAAGTTTTGTTTTTGGTCTGTGGGTGTTTGCGCATTTTGTGTTTGGGACGTGGGGAACTTTCATGTAGCTTGAGGGGGGCCCCCGCTCAGCCCCCCGCCTCACCCCGCCCAATCGTGAAATGGATCGTGGGAATAGTGGCAGAGTAGGACAAAGACGACGCATGGGATTAGTAAAGTCAATCGTAGTCGTCGCCGTATTCGTCGTCGTCGTCCTAGTATATAGTTCCATGCACTTATGGAAGGCCGCGGGAGCTTTACGACACCTGCTATTTCATCTGTTTCGAGTCTGTTTCGGAGAGCGGGGGCGAGGAGTTGGAGGGGTGCGGCGGGGGGGAGGAGGGGGGGGGGTTTTGGTTCCGATAAGTTTCATCTATTAGAGGTTTATCCCTCCATTCACTCCCTGTGCCTGGGCTCAGAGGAAGCAGCTGGCAGGGGAAATTTTCTTAACTTAGAGGTTTATCCCTCTATTCACTCCGTGCGCCTGGGTTCAGAGGGGAGATTGGCAAAACTACTTTGTGCAGAGCGCGACACTTGAGCATGAAATGTGCAGATTCCCTGGCCCTGCGCCAGTGGTTTAACTTCCTGGTGCTAAACATAGCACGAGCACGAAACACTGACAGGGTGCTCACTTCTTTGACGAAGCGAAATGGAACATGTAATGAGAACATTCACGGCCTAGTGGTGGGTAGTGGTGGGTAGTGGTGGGTAGTGGTGGGTAGTGGTGGGTAGTGGTGGGTAGTGGTAGTGGCAGTGGCAGTGGCAGTGGTAGTGCTAGTGGCAGTGAGTGGCAGTGGCAGTGGCAGTGGCAGTGGTGGCAGTGGCAGTAGTGGCAGTGCGCGCTACCAAACTGGACGCTTGCTCAGTTTTGTCCCTTAGATGCATGCACGCGCACATGTCGCAGAAACAGTGTCACAATTTGAACTCGAGGTTTTGATGGATGGAGCTGGAGACCCGCAGGTTTGGATGGGTGAGATAGGGTTTGCCCGGACCCCGGCGTGCTCACCGTGAACCTTGGGAGACGTCACCTTCACGGCTTTGCTTTGATGGTTTTGGGGCCGGCTTCTTGGCTCAAACAAACCCCCATCTCGAGCTGGAAGTCTTCTCGGGTGAGCCTGCCAGTACCCATACCGCGTGTGTCTTGTGTTGCAGACACGAATGTCCTGCAAACCATTGCGCCGAACTCATGGACCCGCGCGAGGATTCAGTGGATTTTCAGGTTCACGATCCACTTGAAAGAAACAAGTCAAGAAAGCATTTTCTTGTTTATAAAGGCAATCTCAACACGAGCACCTGCATCACTACTGGACGACAAAGGCAGCGCACTGAAAACCACTCCCTGAAAACCACTCCCACCTGACATCGTAGAGTGAGTTCTCAATCGAGTCACCGAGCAGGATTTCCCCCAAATTCTCAGCAGCCACATGGATCTCCTGCGAGGCGCCACGGGTACAAAGACCCACTTCTGGTCAGCACAGTGCGCCCCGCGTCCTTGGGGACACAGTATGGCAAAACCTCAAGCCAAGGTAACAGGGCCTTTTTGGCTTCGACCCTCTGCAGAAAGCAAGAAGGTAGGCTCCCAAACATAATATCTGTACGGGAGCTGAGTCTTGACCTCACAGGTGAAGGGTTTGCCAAGGGCTCAACGCTGCGAATCTGAGCCCGAGACCGAAGTGAGCTTGTTTACTTTGAGGTCAACACGATCCCCCTAGGAACGGATTGCCGAGATACAACAAAGAGGATACAAAAACAAGTGTAGTTCGGCTCAACTCCGCTCCAAGTGCTGCGAGGAAGCATCCAGGTACTCTTGTGGAGCCACTCCAGGCAGGTAAAACCCTTGCGCCTGTGCAGCTTGCAGAGCTTGCAGCACATCCACACACAAAACGAAGTGTGATCCTTGATAGAATGTTCACCTCTCTTTATTACAGCCGTCCTGCAGCACAAGCGACCCGAGCAGTAGCCACGGAGCCATTGCTCTGAATCGTTGCAGCTTTCCTCTAATCTGAACTCTATTTGAACTCATGTGGTGCTCTCATGTACAATCGTGCTCTGTGTTCTACGATTTTGCAGATCTGGAGATCTGTTGGCCGTTGGGCCTTGGACGGCTTTCGTGTGCTGTTGGCCTTTGGGACCCCAAACGCAGACACTGAAAGCATTTAAGGCTCTAAAGATTGCTGCTCATCAAAAGGCGAATGTACAATAATAAACTTATGATAGCTTGTCATGTGAACAGCGCTCGCACAAGTCTATCACTCTAAGACCCTGAAAGAGCTCTGGAGGCAGGCAGGCGCAAGTGTCTCCACAAGTGCAGCCGGCTTTTTCAACACTCTCTGCGGCTTTCAACTCCCATCAATAGTGCAGATGTCACTTGCTTTTTTCTGAAAAGCGGCACAATTATCATCAACCTATCTTGCTTTGGGATGTGATCAAAAAATTCCACCGGCAGATTTTCCAGTGATGTATCGTCTCGACGTCAACAAGGACGTGCCAAGGGCCTACAGTGAGCAGACTTGTGTCCAGAAGCAGCTGGGCACGTTCACACTTTATGTGACTTTGCGAAGCTGACTTCATCAGATCGATCTTAAGAATGTGCAACAAACACTGCATACGCAACCAAGAGTCACCACCATTTCGCTTGACAAACAGATAAGGCAGCCTCTTTGCCAAAGGCTTGATTTAAAATAAGCCAGGGCATGTGAGCAACACTTTGCTGGCCACTCATATTTGCGTACGTGGCAATCATTGTCGCCAGAAAGATGCCACCTAAACACCAGAAGCAACAGCGAAATCACTGGAAACCTCAACGCAACTTGACAAAAAGACTACGGTCTTCTGGTACACTGAAGGTACATCAACCAAGGTTTGGAACCACAATGAGTGAAACCGGGTCTTAGCACATTGCTCAGAGCTTGCGAGACTTATGCTCACACTCACAGCGCAAGAATGCCCGAAAGGTTCTACTTACTCCTCGACAAGCGCGAAGCACACAACTGGGTATTTGATGACAACACACTGTCAACATTTTGCCGTACGTTGACACAGTAGTCGGTCCAGCCACCAAAGAGGGCAATAGTGCTGGAAGGGTCACGCAAGTGCTTGGATCTAAGGCAAGCTAAAGATGGCGAAACTGTTGCCAAAGCTTGTAATTCAACTTCCAACACCACATAACACAAGGCTTCGACTTGTTTCGACATCTGACGGCATGTGCCTTTGACGGGGCTTGCCCCAGTGAGTCTGCATCCTCACAGAGCGTCATCTTTGAACCGGTTTCTGGAGGCCACATGGTGAAACTGAGCCTGTCAATCCTGCCAACTGTGGCTTCAGTCAAAATGGCCAGCATTCCGAGTCCCTTAGGTCACCTGGCATGGCATGGTGCAAGCAAAGCACATGAAATTCGGTACAGCATGATACAACGCCTTGTGCGCAGCATCATGCAGAAGCTCGGTGCAGAATCTTACCATGCAAGTTCAGCAAGTTCATCAAGTGCACTGCTGTGTCATGTGGTTCTCCAAATTCTCAACAGGCCAGAAGCACACCAGGGAAGACAAATTCAGAATTTCTCCCGTGTACTCTTTTGCCTCATGTGCACGAGCTGTGATCGAACTCAGTCAGGTGATGGGCAAAGTGGCCAGCCTTTGGTGTAATAACACCCATTCGCATCATTGCAACCTGGGATGAAGGCGTAACAGTGTCGGCAAAGATGCCAAGGGGCACAAATTGGGGCACGAATTGGGGGCCCCTGCCTTGGCTTTCTTCCTTGCCTTCAGCTCGCCTCTGACAGCTTTCGGGCTACAACGCATTGCGCCACAAGCGCTCTCATCGCTATCATCGCTCTCATCGCTCTCACCGCTCTCATCGCTCTCATCGCTCTCATCGCTCTCTCCTTCCGGACATAGATGGCAATAACTGCAGTTTTCCTGGATCAGGAGGCCAGAGGGGATGCAGCAACAAATGATTGACGAGACAGGGCGAGGTTGGTGCCTTGTTTTGGCAGCTTCCCGGCTTCCAGTACCATCTCAGTCGTTGCCATCTCTGACTTCTGTTTCTACCACAGTCAAGGCAGCTACAGGCTTCGATCATCAAGATTTCCTGACGTGCAGCGGCATCGTGCCAATGTGAGCACTGAGTAGACCACGCACACGGACGACAGGCGCCTTGATTTGAGACCCGAAAGCTACAGAGGTGCGAAGAATGTTGACAGTCGAATCAGTCGCCTGTTCCATGGAGGGCTGAGCCCTGGCTGACATAGTCCGGTGGAGTAGCTGCAAGAGCTGCCTGCTGAGCCGCTGTCAGGTGCTGTCAGGTGCTGTCAGGTGCTGTCAGGTGCTGTCAGGTCATAGTGATCTTGCTGTCAGGAAGGCAGGACATTTGCCGGCAAAAAACCAAAAACCGTAACTTCGGAGACAAGTGACGACATCAAGAGCCCATGAAATGACCCCTCATGGGCACGACCGCGAAGGACTCCGAAAGCCCCGGGCACCAGCACAGCAGCGAAACGTGTCTCGGAGGGAGGCTTCTCATGAAAGAAGCCAATAGTTCCGGACCACTGCTAGATGTCTGCCCGGGTGGTTCCCATTTACGGCCCTAAATGCAATGTAAGCCCTGCAGGGCCATGCCTGGAAGGTACGGGGCTTCCAGGCAAGCAGAAACTGCAAGAGAACAAGAGAAAGAAAGGTGGTGCATTGGTGCATCTGTGACCGGTCGCCTCAAACTGCTCGTCTGCATAGGGCGAATCCATCCTTGATCAAGCCAATCAAGCCATTCCACAGCCTGACAAATGCGTCTTCGATGCTGAGGACAAGACTTTGGCGAGAACCATGGCTCCCAGACATCGGTCATAGGGGAATTCCAGACCTTGACAGATGGACGGAAAGGTCGGGTTAGGCCGTTAAAGCATCCTTCAGCAAATTTGTGTGCGTCAGCTGCGCTGCCGACATCGGGAGGAAACCACTCTGGGCTCTGGGTCAAGCTCAAAAGCCAGTCCTCGTGTCAACGAACAAATCGAAAAGTCTAGTAACCTGCAAAAACAAGGCAAAGGCTCCTGTGCTGGCTCCAGCAAGCTGTCCGGTGGAGTGGAAGACTGCTCTCGTGGCTCTTCCAGCTCCCCATCTTCCTCATCATCATCATACCTGTTGCATTGCAAACCTTCCGTGCACGATACCAGCATCGAAAGCAAAAAATCTCATGATGCGCACTGCGCCATCTGCAAAGAAGAATGGTCAAGGCCTGCTCACTGACATCTCTTCGTCTGATGGCCAGTTTGCCACAGGGTGATGTAAAGTTTGAGTGCTGGGCGGAGCTTGACGGGCAACTCTAAATCAACAGCCTCAGCAAATGAGTCATATTGGGTCACCCCGGGTGACATATCTGCGTCCTTGTCACACAGCATTCACTTGTTAATTGGTGGATGCCTGTTAAAACAGGTTAACACCTGCTGGGGTCTGGTGCTGTTGTTGGCGAAAGCGTCGGGCTTCCAGCAGCCTTGGCCTCTGGTGAGGAAGTGCAAGCCTCGGCGTCTGCACATGACCGCAAACATTGGCATCCTTGTATTTGATGCTGCCACCGACACAGCAATTACCACAAGCCTGAGAAGATGGCTTCAATTTTGACTGGCTCACCGCCAAGGAGCTCCATACTTTCTGGACTTTGGCCTGCCTGCACAGCACAGGATTCTGAGGGTGTCTTGAAACCGAAAGAAGTCAACCACTATATACTGACGTGAAACAACGGCAGCAACTGCGCACACGTCACTCACACACACACACACACACACACACACACACTTTTACATTTTGTGTGGTGGTAGCGCAGAGGCTGTGCCTTTATAGCTCAAAGCTCTATTGGCTCTCGGCCGGGGACATGGCATGCATCAATATCTGACACGGCCGAATATAACAAAAAGTAGAGCTGCTGATGTCCAGGGATCAGCCAACATGCAACCCCTGCGCATAAGAGGGCAATCCGGATCGGATCCAGAAGCTAAAGCTTGGAGAATTGCCAACAGCGCCTCCATCTCACACACCAAATGTCGGCCTTAAGCACCAAGGAACCGACGCTTGATCTTCACATTGCATACATCACAACTACTTCTTTGCATGATGCGACTCCTTTGAACATGCTCTCCATCTAGAATCTAGGTCGAATCCGCATGCCATCACTTGCTCCGATTCAAAGCTTCAAGAAGTTTCGCCATTGTTCCACATCTTTCTGTGCAATGGCAACTACATTCCCCTTCTGACCGTTCTCAGGATTCGCGTCCACTTCGGCGACTGCTGCCACATGCTTCTGCGCCGAAATCCAAGCTGGGAGACCTGTGAAACATCTTTGGCTAAGGTCCTGACAAGCAAGGTATGGAGCGCACCCTTTCAGAGCCAAATGCCAGATGTCAGCGTACCAGCGCCAACTCTCAAGAACCAAAGATCAACACACTCCATGAGGGGATGCACGAACACGTGCTGCATGAAACGTACTTCAGCCGGTGCAGCACAATCTTTTTTACGATGCTCTTGCTTGTGGAATGGGCAGCATCACCAAAGGTTGCCTGACAAGCTCATGCCCCCGACATGGCTTTCAAGCAAAGGAAGCCCACGCTTGAGAGCCTGGAGGGTCGACTGGCCACCTGGGGCTCGACAGAGGACCGTTCACCGAAATGCGTGTGGCAAGCATATGATGAGCAGCTTCTTCCTGCCTCACACGCCCAAATCACGGCCATCCAGACTTCCCAATCCTCATCACCAGATGCAGCAAATTTCAGTGTCTTGTTTTCGCCAGACCAAATGTGAACAAGGGTGTGCAATCCAACAAAACTATCCTGCCTCTGGCAGCAAGCGGCCAGAGAACGGCCGTCTCAGCCTGATTTCGAAGCCACTACAACACGGCATGGCAGAGAGAAACTGGCATTCGCGCGTTGGAGGAAAAGCAGCTGAACTGGCTTGCCAGGCACCGCAACCTCGCAGCACGTGCATTTGTTTACATGCAATGCCCTGTTAGCATCTCTGAGACTGCAGCTGCCACAAGCTCGTGCGGCACAGGCTCGTGCAGTTTCATCCGGTACTACGCGTGACCTGAAGCATGGCCCAGGTGAGGCCACTGCAAGCAAGACCCTGCGGCACAAGGTTCCGGTGCAGCCGACAGAGTCTGCAGCCACGCTTCGTGGACTTCGGTTTTCAGGCAACAAGGTGCTGATGCGAGTTGCCCTAAGTAGCTACAAGTCGGAAACGCGCGTGGCACTTTCGGACCAGGGCTTGTGACGTTGCGCCCCGCCTGCTTACAAACCCTCAGACCAAAATTATTTGACTCTCTGCGCCCAGGACGTAGGAGGCGAGGAGGCGAGGAGCATGGTTGACCTACGTTTGACCTAAAACAACCCCACACCGAGAGTGGCGAAAGACGGTCAGCAGCGGATTCGGAAACTGAAAACGCGCGGATTCGCAAACTGGAAACCCGATTCGGAAACCTGTAAAAACCTGATTCGGGAAACTAAAAGCGCTGATTCAGGAAACCTGGATTCGAGAAACCCGCTTGTTCAGGAAACTGGCAAGCGCGGATTCGGAAACCGGGGATTCGGGAAACTTCAAAGCGCGGATTCAGAACTGAAAGCACGGATTCGGGAAACCAGGATTCGGGAAACCAGCTGATTCAGGAAACTGGAGCGCGCGGATTCGGAACCAGCGGATTCGGAAACCAGCTGATCCAAAAAACTGGAGCGCGCGATCCTGAACGTTATCATCCCCCTCCCTCCCACCCCCCCCCCCTGAATCGCGTTTTCGGTTTCCTGAATCGTGTGGCTGCCTGAATCGCAGTTTCCAGAATCGCATAGTTTCCTGAATCCTGGTTTCCTGAATCGCGTCCAGTTTCTGAATCGTGCTAGGATCGGCGAAAGACCCTGAAACTCCAAAACGCCAGTGCTATAGACGTTCCTCAACCACAGCGGACTAGGCAGAACAGAGCGGAGCATCGGAGTATCACAGAGCCGTTTAGTCGGTGCCCATCGCACCAACACTGTACTAAAATGACCTCTACTCTACTCCTGTACAAGTGCCAAAACCTGCATTAAACCTAGCAGCAAACATGCATGTTTATTCACAAAAACAACCTTGTCCAAATCTCTGCGTGGGTGTTTGAAAGCTATGATGTTGTTAGTGCAACTGAGAACATCCCTCTTCGTACCTCTGAAAGATAACCCAACGACTTCAAGACCAGCTGGAAACCAGAATAAGCCAGAACTGAGAGGCCTCCCTGAGAGAACGCTGTAGAACTCTCCAAGAATATCCGAGACAAGGAGCAGCTCCAAGGAGTCGATCACGGCCAAGGAAGAAGACCAACACGCGGCCTCCTTGCCTGAGATTTCACGGCCTACGGCTCATCAATTTACAAGACAATATGTACAATACATTTTGAGACTTTTTGAAAACACTGCAACCTCAGAACCTGACAGCCAAACAGGACGGTCCCGAAGCAGCCAAGGTTGGGCGACTCCTATCAAATGCATGAAGTTGTCCAGCATCTGCCTGCCGTCAGTAGTGCCTGCCCTCTGGGACGTTCGAAGGCAACAGCACACGCTGTTCGCCAAAGAACTGCCGAGACCTGTCTTGCAGCACTCAGTGTCGCTCAATCACAAACGGTGCTGAGTGAGAGCAGCTGGCACTCTCCTTTTCAGCAAGAAACAGGCCCAGGCCACACATGCACTTATGCAGGCATTGAGCAATGCTGCTGACCGGAAGACGCCTCGCACGAACGCCACAAAGTGGAAGAACCCGGATTGTTTTCAAGGCCTTGCCTGCAACGCCGACATGGATTGCCAGACCTTGCGTCCGCTATCACGTTCTGGGGAAAGGGTTTGTTGCTTGGGGTTCTTGGCAACCGCCTCTCCTACCGTCTCCAAACTACAGATTGTGTGGGAGTTCGGGTGTTTCGCTTTTTCTGCACTCTTCTGGAGCCGCTCAGACTGCTGAGTTCATGGCACAAGGCCTGTTGCCACTGCACTGCCGCGTCCATGACAGCCATTGTGGCCTGAAGCTCTGAGAACTTTTTGGTTTCCAAAAGGAAAGCAAAACCTGAATACACCACCGTAAGTGGCGAGCACCAAAGGAAATCTGGTCGGCTTCAATCGAACTGAGCTTCATCTTCGAGAAAACCTTCACAGAAAACTAAGCATCTCCACCGTCTTCCTTGAATAACTTGCGTTTTGCACGCATGCTTCTCTCTCGAACTTCTCCCCATTTGCGACGCCTCATGAGACGAATGCCAGCATCCTTCCATCCCTGCCCAAAGCTTCGTTTTCAAGGTCAGCTGCAGATTCGAAAACGAAAAAAAAGAGGGGACTCAGAAACTTGGAAAACGCGATTCGGGAAACTGAGCTGCCTGAATGAACATTTCGAACATTTACAAATATCCTGAATCGGGCAGTTTCCTGAACCGGTCTTTTCGCGGAATCACGGCGCGTTCACATGACATATGAATGCGATCTTGGCATGGATATCTTCTTCTCTGGACATGCTACTGCGACAGGCAAAAAAGTGCACACTTGGGGCCTGTTGCTGCAATGTATGCATTGTACGAAACCAAGTCCGTCACACAGCGCCTGCCACTGACTCACTGGCTGCCAATCCCCTCGTGCAAACAGTGAGCCATGGTTCACAATGCTTCGCGCCTACAACCAGCATCTTGCAGCAAGGAATGCCTTGCGGACAGATTGCAGATGAGGCTTGCTAGGTCACAGCCAAATCCAAGCGATGGAGCGTCTGATCGAGTCTGGGCATCTGGCGCATGTTGCCAGTAGAAGAGCTGACCAAGGCTGCAGATTGCCGAGTTTACCACCTTTGCCCTCTCGAAAGCCCAGCTCTGCAGTATGAGCCTCCAAGCGTTGCCTTCACCCAGGTGCGCTTGCCACCAAGATGCCATAGCATGTCAAAAAGAACACTTACTCAACCAAAGATTGCTCCCCATGCAACTATACTGGAGCCTGCACCCGACCCAATGGCACCAACAACGGACATCTGGGCCACGCTGTCCGCTTGAATGTCTGAGCGCCGCCTTGCTACCCAATGGTGATGAAGATCAAGAAAGCAACTACCAGAGCAACCAAGTCTGACTTGGGCTTCTGCATAGATTGCACGAACAGCATGGCGATGTCCCACAGCCTTGTAACAAGCACATCGTCTGCAGAAACAAAACCTCGGTCCCCACTTCAAACTGCGCAGAAGCATGGAGCAGAAGAAGACAATGACGTGAAGGGAGCCCTCCGTTCAAGAAGCCCAACATGATCAACACATTCAAAACAAACCACAAGCTTGACAAGCAGCTTCAAGCTTTCAAGTCAAAGGGCGCTTAGACCAAAAGCCAGAAGCACGACGGCGGTTTCCCTGATTGAACCACGTGCTTTGGAAACTGCTGATTCCGGCACTAACCAGCACAACCAAAATCCAAATGCTCAAACCTGAACTACAAACCAATGCCTTACTGCAGAAGCGAACGGACAACTGAGAAGAAAAGTGCACGACTCTCGAGACAGGTGGCCCAGCTGCATCCAACCCTGCCAAGATCGAGCCTGGCGAACGAGCACAAACACCATCAAACGCAATTCAAACACCATCAAACACCGTCAAACACCATCAATCTGAAAGATCGACGGATTCGTCAGGTCCAGGCCATGGGACACCAGGTCCGGGGTGGCACGATCCCGGCGTTCCATGTTGAATATGACCTCACACGCCCACAGCTTCGACATGGACTCACCAAGTCGTCACCTGGCCTCACATGAAGACAACCACTGGCCACCGCTAGAGCAGGCCGCAGCCGCAGCATTGTGCACTAGCACCTGCATGCCCCGAGTAAGTGAACTAAATTTGAATTGCAATAGGCAACGAGACCAGAACATGAGGAGTGAGCTCCAGCGTGACCGGGGCATCCTTCCAGCCGGTCCTTGGGAGATAACATCAATTTAACATCACATCTTTTTCAACCTGTGCACAGGCCTTCGTGCCTTGACGAGGGCAATCAAATCTGAGACCAGCACCAATACACGCAAGACAGTCTTCCACTGACCACCCTGCACTACACAGCTTCCTCCAAGTCATCCAAAGATGGAGATTCCACATGCACTCGAACTTGCCAGGCCTCGAAGCAGGCAACAGCCTTGACTTGACAATCTAAGAAACATGTTGAAGCTGTTGGCACACACACCTTCCGGAGATCGAGCTTCCGACGGACAGCATACACACAGAATTTGCCAAACGATCACGCAAGGATGAACAAAGCCTGATTGCCAGGAAGAGAAAATGCATGTAGCAAACACCTGCAACATGTCTCTCGACACACGCTTTGCATCACTACGCCGCATCCGACAACGACAACAACAGCAGCATCAGCAACAACCAACAACAACATGCGAACTACCCTACCGGCCGGCGGGTTGCAGTGCCTCAGCCAAGTGCACACAGAAAACGTTAGGCGGGCCATCCTAACTAGGCAAGCCAGGTCAACGGTCAGCCAGGGCAAATGCAGCCCCTTCGTGTCGAGCCAAGAACGGCAAGGAGGGAACTGAGCCAACAGCTCGGGGATAACCAGGAGAGGGTCTCACACAAAAAGCAACACTGTAAATACTAGCAAGTGAGCCCCCAACTAAGAACAACTGCAAGGATCGGGCCATGCACCTGCTCCGATAATTTGTGTCCACGCAAACATCAATCATGCAAGTCATGACCAAAACTATCTTTTGCAAATCAGAGCACTTCAACGAAAACACATACAACAAAGGCCTCGATAACAGCGAGCTTACTGCTACTTCACAGTCGTAGATTCTCTACGATAAAACCATACCGAAGCACCTTGCTCCATATCCAACTAGTTGGTACAAGTGACCGGCACACAACTAAGCTCAAAGCAGAAGCGAAGCTCGAGACCAGCACAGACCCTCCTTGTCAGCGGTGTAAAGCGAAAGCAGCAGACAGAACTAAAGAACAAGCAAAACAGAAGCATGCCGGGAGGAGTTTCAATGGCACGTCGGGCGCTGCACTTGCTCCTCCAAAGCTCGAAGGCATGTCCCGACTGATATAGAATCGGCTTCAACATTGTCGACCCGCATCCTGACACATGGCAACCGAAAAGCTGTTATCACATATCTGAACGTCTGAACGTAACTGAATCTGAACATGCACAAGAGTCCTGCAAAAATGGAACAAAGCTCGCTGCCACAGGCTGCCAGCCAACAGGGCCTCGCTTCCATGTGTACACCACACCGCTTCCCACAACATTGTCATCTGCGTTCATAAACATGTCCTAAGCATGTCCAAGACTCATTGTAAGTTGTCGTATCTGGACGAACTCCTCTCCTTATTTCGCCGAAAAAGGTACGTGCGATTCTTCTTGTAAGGGGAACAGGGTGGGAATTGGTATTTCTCGAGAACACCCAGGCTACTCCGCAAGAGCACGGGGGGGGGGGGGCCAGGCGAGTGATTGCTGTTTTCGAGATTGCTTTTGTCGAAAGGGACGAGGACCACGATAGTGCTCTTCCGGACACGGGAACAGAAAGGAATCGATGGGCGCATGGGGCGGCGTTTTTCTCCTTAAACATGTGGCAAAAGGCAACCCAAAACCCTAACCCCGAAATCCGCTGCTTCCATACGGTAAGATAAAGCAATACTCCATAACTAAAAGCTTGTCTATTCAAAGATGGACACCGGCTTCGGCTTTGGGGTGAGCAGCTTATCTAGAATCTGTCTCGATTAAGTATGATTAAGCGCTTTTGCTGACTCAGGCCGCAACAATGTCTTCCAGGCAGTCAAGCAAAGTGCTGCCGTTAGCCAACGCCTTGGCCATCAGAACGTTCTTGCCGCAAATGCCATGCTTGAGAAGCTTAACACGGACTGCTAAATGCAAACAAGAATCCGCGATCTAGCAGAAGCTGCCAAGATAATGTTGCCTGGCCCACTGTCAGACCCAGCACGTTCAAGTCCAGAGCGTTTCGCAAGCAAATCTATACCCAAACCCAGGCTGAGTTTCTGTCATGATGGCTGGTTGCAAAAGCGTCATGCGGTTCCATCACGAATCTTGGTCACTACACGACCGTGAACACGAGGAGGTGTTCTGGAGTTGTTAAGCTGAGCCAACGAATCTCAACACGGATTCCTGTTACGTTGATGCCAGTCATGCTGCAACACATGCCGGAAATGACAGGCCCTCCCATCGGCCTGGCGTGCACATGGCTTGTTCATAACAAAGCTCCGAACGTTGTACCGCTCTTTTCCTGACATGCCACAACGGCGCCTCAACTCCGGCTGTTTCCAAGATCTGAACAGCACAAAGTGCCTTACAGCAAGCAGCCGAGCTATCAGCAAGAGGTTTGACAGTGTCCATCCTTACAGGGGCCGCACAGAATGCCATTCCGATCTGGATGCAGCCACAGCTCTGTATGAGACCGCCGAAGGCTGCAGGTTCCTAAGTGAAACTCTGCCGTGTACTTGCCGAATGCACAAGCTTAAAGCACATCTCAGCCGCATACCATCGGAACACAGTCGTGAACCTTGCGTCCAGGCTGCAGCTGTTTCTTGCACCGCATTTAAGCCTGTAAAGGCTCGCGCAGATCTACCGCCACTGCCCAAAGATTGTCAGTCTTGTCTTCAGTTCCGTCACGTCCTGCCGCACAACTTCGAATGGACCAACAAAAAAAACCGATACACCATGACATCATCCCTGAAGCAATGTCACATCAAAAATGCATGTCCAAGCATGCGCCAACGGCTTGTAAACTTGTCATACTTTGTTTCGCTGGAACACATCTGAAGACTGCAGAGGAACCGTGCCTGTTGTAGCGCGTCTGCTGCAACAGGATAAAGCAGCATTGATGCAGACCACATCTGGTTCCAAGTCCTTTCGGATATGGGCATCGCTCGGCCGGACCACTGCCAACAGCATCCAAAAAACGGAACAAGCATGATTGCTCAAACACAATTTTCCTCATAACTCGGATGCAAGCGGCAACACATGTGACAGGGCGCCTGCTTCACATTCACAAGAACCTTCAATGCCTCAGAGCATGACCCATGGACATGTAATGGGCAATTGGACATGTGGAGTTTGCCAGCCCAGCCTGCTCCCAAGCAGACGAGCGCTTGCATTCAACAATGGCATTTGTTATGGAGCGCAAGCTCCCACTGGCTGTGGGCATTTACACCTTATTCAAGCCGGTACTCACAACTCTTTGAGTAACCAAAATTGCAAACAAAACACATCACGCTGAACCACTGCGCTACTTACAACATGATGAAATCGAGAAGGTTGCTATAAAGCTTGATTTTCTTTGCTGAAGCTGCAATGCCACAACTGAAAGCCACAACATACACATTCCGTTCCGAGGCATCAAACTTGCTTCTGCATGTACGATGTTAGGTGGTGGTAGTGGTAGTGGTAGTGGTGCTGGTAGTGGTAATGGGGAAGACAGTGGATCCAAGAGTTAAGGAAAATTAACTCTGAAGTTAATTGACCGGCATCGGGCCGGCTCGACGCCCCTTAGGTCCAGCACAATTAACTCTCGATTTAATTGCCTGTTAACGTCGCGCGACGTAGCATGCCATGCCGGCAAGCTGCTCAAGGAAAACAATTAAATCAGGATTTAATTGTTTCTTCTAAACGACCCCAACCCGCAGAACAATTAAATCAGGATTTAATTGTTCCCCCCTACCTTTCAACAATTAAATCACGATTTAATTGTTCCCCCTAAAGTAATAGTAATAATAATAATCGTAATAATAATAGTAATAATAATAATAGTAATAGTAATAATAATCATGATTTTAATAATAATAGTAATAGTAACAATGATAATAATAGGAATAATAATAAGGATAATAATAATAGTAGAAACAATAAGAAGAAGAATAATGGTAATAGTAATAGAAATAGTAATAGTAATAATAATAATAATGATAAGAATAAGAATAATAATAATAGTAGTAATAATAATAATAGTAGTAACAATAAGAAGAAGAATAATAATAAGAAAATACTAATAAGAAGAAGAATAAGAATAGTAATGGTAATACTAATAGTAATATTAAGACTAGTAGTCAAAATAATAATAATAATAGTAAGACTCATAGTAATAGGAATAATAAGACTAATAGTAATAATAGTAATAATAGTACAATTAAATCATGATTTAATGGTGCAAACAGGTACCAATTAGCACAAGTCTTTGCTATACCATTAAATCACGATTTAATTGTCTTCCAGTCAAACGCAAAGAAACACAATTAAATCACGATTTAATGGTGCAAACAGGTACCAATTAGCACAAGTCTTTGCTATACCATTAAATCACGATTTAATTGTCTTCCAGTCAAACGCAAAGAAACACAATTAAATCACGATTTAATTGTGTTTTTGTAGGGACAAGGTATGTCGAGGTAGGTCAAAACCCAACCCAAACACAACAATTAAATCAGGATTTAATGTTTTTTAACTTCTGGATCCATGGGTTTTCGTGGTAATGGCAGTGGCAGCGGCAGCGACAGTTCTCAACAGAGCACCAAAAAAACGGCCGAAGCTGCGCCCCATTTCTGTCCTTCCGGTTGCAAGCCGCGACAACGTTTCGTTTTGGGGGGTGGATGTTCCCGCGAGAAAGCAACGAGCTTTGCAATCCATCGAGGAACGGTTGCACCACTCAGCCTGATAATTATAGCCTGATACAGGATCTGCGCACCAGCTACCAGGCAACTGCAAACCCCTGGTCTTTGACCAAGGTCACCTATGAAGATGCTAATTGCTAATTCTGGCTTCTTAGCTCGGTGTCCAACCACACGAGAACCCCCTCAGCTGCAGCTGTCGCCGCTGCATTGCCCAGCCCGGGCCCGACCCTCCTCGTCAAAGTGGGATGTCCAAAAGGACCTAGGTTGGCCCTCAAAACTTGAACACGATCCTCTTTTTAAAGCCCAATAAGCGCGAAAACGTGCGAAAACAGAAAGAATGTCCCAAAAAATTGCATCTACCGGAGGACATGTTGTGCGGAGTGAAGGTCTCCGTGTTCCAGTTCTGCGCCGCCGTCGAGTGGAAGAAGTAGTTCACACAGGTCACGGCATCGAAGACGGGCAAGCCGGTGATGCGCCTGAGCTCATCGGCGTAGTGCGGAAGCTCTGTACATTCCAACAAGACCATCTTGATGGCACCGTGGCCTTCCCTGGTGCCCTCTTCTTTGATGATCTCTAGGACGTAAGCACTGATTGCGTTCTGAACACGGATGGTGTCCACTCTCTCTGCATTGGCAACTGCCTCGAAGCCGGGAAGATTCTCGCAGCCTCGAATGACAAATTTCTCCGAGTTCGTCACCTGAATGCCACTCTCCAAGAGCAGCCGGTCCTTGCCAGGCTGCAAGGTAGCGGCATTGGCAGTGAGGATCAGCACTCTTTCTGCTGGCTCCATGGCGGCAGCCATCGTTGCTGCCTGGATCAGCGCACTCATAAAGACGGGAACCTGAGACACGTAGCGTGCAAAGCACTGGTAGTGCATCATGAAGCCGCAGTTGCCGGTGATGCCAACAACGCCCTCCTCCTCGAGCTTCCTGATCTCGGAAGTCATGTTCTCAAGAATATCCTGCAAAAGAGCTCAAGTCGGGATGAAGGCTCAGGTCTTTGGGTTTAAGGGTTTAGTGCTAAACATACCCTAATTGCTGTGGTTTAGGGCTTGCCAAACCTACACTTACATTGGCTTGTGGCCTGCAAAACCCGAACCATTGGGGTTTCAAGCCTTTGGAGTTTACTGAAGGATCTCCTGATCGAAGCATCCTTCCTGGGCTTTCTCGAAAGTTAGCCCTTTCACCACACGCGGGCACGTCTTGAAGCCAAAAGTGCCTGGGTGGTCGATGTCTCCGAAAGCTGGAGGATAGTCATACTCCAACTGGATGAGACCCAGCTTGCAGGCCGCAGGAGACCCGGAAGGCGATGAGGCTGAGGGGCGTCTGGGTGACGATCGTGGTGACCGTCCGAGTTTCTCCTCTAAACGACACAAGACTTTGGCGTCGTTGTAATGGCTCAGAGCCGATGCCGAAGCAAACAGATCCAGCATCGTGAGCTCGTTGAAAACCGGAAGACCTGTTCCTTGCCTTAGGAGGTTGCTGAACATGCTGAGCCGGGTCGTCATGATGAGGCTTTTGATCAGCATGTCCTTCTTCCCTTCTACGTTCACCTCCGCGATGCGTTCCTGGACCATCTTAAGCAGGCATGAGCCAAGCGCCGAGTCCTCTTCCGGTTTCGTGTCGAAGTTCAGGTACCGGGACCAGCGAGAGTCCTGAGAAGCATCCACGCCCAGAATATCCAGGCGGTCCAAGTCCATCTTGATGTTGCAGTCTTCGATAAAGCTTTTCTTCATAGCTACCACCTCTTCTTGGGAGCCCCAAGTTACCAGCAAGACCTGCTCACAACTTTTGAAGGCCGCGGAGATCATGGGCAGCTGGATGATTGGTGTCAGATAAACAGGCCGCTCGGTGATGATGCTCCGGACGGCGGAGTGGTGCTTGAGCCACAAGTTACCCAGGTCTGCTGTCACCCCGGTGATGCGGTCCATGCATTCCACGAAAGCCACGAGGCGATCAAAGCAGTCACGGATCGATTGCAAGACTTCCGCATCCAGGTGTTCGGCCATCAAGCATGCTCGAGTGAGCCCTTTGCACCTGGACATTAACTTGCATCCTGCCCCCGTGTCGACGCTCATGATTTCATTCGGCCAACTGCCCTCGTCAACACACAGCACGGCGAAGGTCTGCTGGCACATCCTGGGCTCCCAGAAACTCCAATATACCTCTAAAAAAAAGCAGATGCCCCTTAAAAACAGGGTATATTCCTTGAGTCCGGGGCTTCACAATCTCTGGGTTCCAGTCAGGGAACTAAGGCTCAAGTTGCCCGTGCTTGTTGCCTGTGCTTAGCCCAGCCCCTGCCCTGCTCTTGCTCCTGATGTGTACATTATGTGCACAAAAATGTCTCTTTAGATGGACTACAAATATTCATAAATATGCATACTTCTGTATGCTCTCTTCCCCACAGTTATGGTAGCTTAATGTCATGGTACCTCAAACAGGATTGCTCAACGAAAACCCAGCATCTTCTTCTCTGCCGTTTTGGCGAGGGACAGAAGCCGGCTTCTTGCGCGAACCTACGGTGGCTTCGAAGGACTTACGCTGAAAGCTTTCGGTCTTCGAGGTTTGGGGTTTATAGATGACTGAAAAGGGTTGTATAAGGGTTCTACACGTCTTTCGGGCTCAAGGTTTTGGGTTTTGGGATGTTATTCTATGTTTCCGAATTTTTGGGCTCTTGCATTTTGAGGTTTAAGCTGGAACAAGCATCGGGGTGTCGGCTGTTGCGTTGGGGGGGGGGGGTTCGGGTGTAAGGTTTAGAATGTAGGCCTTAGGGTTTAGGATTTCGGGTTTATGGTTTAGGGTTCAGGGTGCGGGGTGCCGGGGTCAGGGTCCCTAAACTCCGAAATTCAGACTCGGCACGCCGCTTTGCGGGCTGAGAAGACCTTCGGAGTTCATGTCGGCGAACTTGCGCCCAAGCCTGGTTGGGACTGGGTTGCTTTGAGGTTCCCCCGAGGGTTTCCCTTAAGGGTTCAATCGTCGAGTTTCCAGGTTGGGGGTGAACTGGCGCAATGTACAAAGTCATAAGCAGCTGCACATGCCGAAAACGTCTCACCTTTGACTGAATGCGAAGTGAGGCACCTTCAGCGAGAGCTCAGTTCACGAAAGAAGGCTCCCTTGAACCAACGCAACGCAAGGATTTTGGGCTCTTTGAGGTGTCGGATCTTTAAAAAACGTATCCTTCATTTGAAAAATGACGTCTGCTGTTTGTTGCCGCTCTGGTGTCCGCCTCCCGACCGACCCGCCAAAACCGCTTCTCAATTGACTTGCCTGAGGCTGATACTGCACACATGAGCACCGGACATTCCTCCAACTTCCAAACGACAGTGCTGTCCAATGTTGGCATTCAATTTGCATTGTGTCTTTTGCTTCGGGGTTTTTGGTACCATCGCGCTCCACCAATGCAACTGTTCACGGTTTCGCGGTGGAACCAAGCATTTGTCCCGAGCACGTCACGCCTGTCCTGTGGCTTTCTCAAAAAACACAACAAAACATTCGAGACAAACTGGCACCTCGGGCCGCGGGCCGCAAGGCCGCTGGGACGCGGGCCGCCGGGCCGCGGTCCACGGGATTTCGCAGCGTCGGCCGCGGCCCACGGGCCGTGGGTCGCGGCCCCACTCCGCGCGGGGTTGCGCTGAATTTTGTGGCAAAACCCGAAACCCTAACAAAAGATGTTGGGTGGGCAAACTGTGGACCTGAAACCCTGAAGATGTTGGGTGGGCAGACCCTAAACTCTGACAGATGTTGGGCGGGCAAACTCTAAATCCTGCAAGAACATGTTGGGTGGACAAACCCCAAAACCTAACAGAAGATTCTGGGTGGGCAAGCACAAATCCTAACAGAAGATGTTGGGTAGGAAAACCCTGAACCTAAAAGAAGATTTTGGGCAGGCAAACCCTAAACTTCAAACAAAAATTTGGGGTGGGCAAACCCTAACCTAAAAGAAAATTTCGGGCTGTTGGGGGGGCAAACCCTAAATTTAGAAAAGAAGATTCTGGGCGGGCAAGCCCTAAACCCTCAAAGAAAATGCTGCCCAAAACGGAAAAAAAGATGTTGGGCGGGCAAGCCCCTAAGATGTTGGGCGGGCAAACCCAAACCCTGAACCCTGAAGATGTTGGGTGGGCAGACCCTAAATTCCAAAAGATGTAACCGTAAAAAAAATGATGGGTGGGCAAGCCCTAAAACCCAAAAGAAAACGTTGGGTGGGCAAACCCTAAAGCCTAAACAAAATGTGGAAAGCTGTTAAAGAACGGGCTTCACTAGGGGGTCCTAAACTAAAGAACGGCGGCTCACTTCCTGTGACCGCTCGGCTGTGTCCGGGTCTCTGAGCCTAGACATCACAGATGTTTCAAGGCTGTTCCTGAGCATTAACACGCACTGCAAACTATGTGTTGAAACTCTTTCCTCAACGCAGACTATTTCAAGTCCGCTTGCAAACAAAAAAGTCTGCTGTTCCTGTACAAAAACAAACTCTCTCTTCTTACTTGGATCATCATCCTGAATCTGCAAAACAAAAGTGCTCCTAGAGCTAGGACGGATACACCATCCTTTCTGCTTACTCTGCCAAGCTCACTTTCCTTTGGCTTTTCATCCTCACTCTTCTTCTTTTCTTCTTTCCTTTTCCACGAAAACTTTGTGATCTCTTAGAAGCCCTCGGCGACGTCCTTACTGCTGCTTCCTGTTCCTTCTTCTTTTCCTTTCTCCTGCCCTTTGTCTTTTCCTTTCGGCTCCTCTTTTCCTTTGCCTTCTCCTTGCTCCTTCATGTACAACTCCTCCATCTCCTTGAACTGCTCGTCACAGATCTTCTCGCCGTTCTTGTCGCGATGCTGCTTGATCCATCGACCGTGTGGTGGTTCACTGCCGAAGAAGAAGTACCAGTACATTGTGTCGTTGTTCCACTTCCACTGGTAGAACTTGTCCTTGAACTGGAAGACGGCGGAGGAGTTCGGACTGCTTCCTCTAGCTCCTTCCTTGCCTGCGCTTCCTTTTCTGCTGCTGCATGGGCTGCTGTGGCTTTCCTGTTCCTTTCCTCTTCTCCCGTTGCTCTCACTGCTGCTGCCTTCGCTTCCTTTGCGTCCTTCGCCTTGGCTGCTTCCCCTGCTTCCTTTGTTTCCTGCGCTTGCTTGGCTACTGCTTCTCGTTCTTCCTTTGCTGCCTTTGCCTTTGCTGCTGCTGCCTTTGCTTCCTCTTCTTTGGGCGCTCTTTCCTCCTCAGTTCTCCTCTCGTTCTCTTCTGCTGCTGCTTCCACAGTCTTCCTCAACCTTTCCCTCAGCTCTTCCTCTTGCTCCCTTGAGACGGGCTGCTGGCTTCCTGATCCTGTGCTCGTGCTTCCTTTCTTGTCTCCTCCATGGCCTTTCTTCTTCTTTCCTTTTCCTGTTCCTTTCTCGCGCTTGTAGGCGTAGGCGTAGTCGTGGTCGCACCAAATCTTTTCCTGCGTCACGTAGCGCTGCCTCCAAATCGAGCCATTCTCGATGTAGAACTTCCACTCGGACGAAAAATCGCGCGGGTACTCGAAGTTGCTTTCCTTTTCCTTTGCTTCACTTGCTTTCCTTTGGATCTCCTCGTTGACCTTCTTGATCTTCTCGGCGATGTTCTTTCTTCTCGGCGATGTTCTTTCTTCTCCTTCCTTCTCCTTCTTTTCATTCGAACTGGTAGATGAGGTAGTCCACGATGTAGCCTCGTTCGATCTTCCTTCTCCTGCTTCTCTTTCGAACTTGTAGATGTAGCTTCTTCTTCATTCTCCTTCCCTTCTCTCGAACTTGTAGGCGACGTAGTCCACGATGTAGTTTCCTGAAGACGCCCTTCACGACGAAGTTCTGCTTCTCTGTCCTTTCTTTCCTTCTCTGCGTTGCCGTCCTCGTCTTCTTCTTGACTTCACAAAATCTTCAAGGCTTTCCATGCGTTCCTGGAGTTTCTTGACGATCTCTTCAACTCGTCTTTGGACTCTTCTTCCTTTGTCTTCATCTCTTCCACGAGGTTCCTGACGCTTTCTGTTTCCTTCTTGGAGACGACCATGAGCTTCTGGGTCCTTTGACTTTCTGCTGCCAAACGCGACATGCTCTCGTTCGTTTCCTGGAGAATCTTGTTCGTCTTCCACGGCTTCCTGTCGTTCGCTTCGAGGCGTGTCCAGAATCTCACGTAATTCCTGGACCATCACTTGGAAACAGGGGTTTCCTTCGCGTCACTCATGGCTGCTAGTTCCCTAGCTGGCTCTACAATTTTCCTGACCTACTTCTGAAGCTTGGGCGCCACACTCGAAAAGCGGCGAGTTTCCTTCTACTGCTCTCTCTTCACAAACTGTTCCTACTTCTAATGCGCATGCACTCCCACATGAAAACTGTTCCTACAACACGACATGACTGTTCCCAGTTCAGAGTCACTCGCGTCAGAAATGCACATGACGTCCTGCTCACATGCTCTCACGACTGACATGTCCGTTCCTCTGAACCCCTCAAAAACAAAACCTTCTGAAATTCCTGCAATGGTTGAAAACATCAAGGCTGCAAACGCGAAACTGGTCCTTGAGCTCTTGTTTTCCTACGGGTTCATTGTTTGAAGTCCCAGCCAATGCAAAAGAAGTTTGACACGCTTTCCTGACAGGTTGTATTTCGTGAAGAGAATATTATTGTGAGTTTACAAGGAACGAAGTGTACGCATGAAACGAAACAATCATATGAACGAAACCAGTACAAGAAAAGAAGATAAGAAAAAGAAGTAAAATACCAAGAATTAAATGAAAGAAATGTAATGCTGTGAGAAAAAGAAAAGACAACTATAAAGTGAATCATTAATTGAATATGCGAGAATACGAAATTCTTTAATCTGCAAACTAATAAAACAGAAGATAAATAGAATGACCACAAGGTGAAGAAAATAATATATTGTGATGAAATTTCTAAATTAATAAAAGCATTTCCTAAAGATATAGCAGCATTAGATAAAAGAAGTGTATTAGCAAAAGTTAATTCACAAGGATCTGGAAGATAGAAAGATTCTCCAGGCCACATCCCTAAAGTTGGACAAGATAATAAATGAAAAGATGTCCAAAAGAAGGATACAAATAATAGAGCTTCAGAAACTAGAAAACCCCCAAAAAGAAGAAAAAAGATTATTAGTAAGACTTCATATTTTTTAGTGAATTCTCTTAATAAATCTCTAAACCAAATATGAAAACTATAAAATAATCCAAATAAAAGATGATAAAATATAAGAAAATAACTATGAGAAGTGAATTCCAGTCCAACAATAAATATGAAATCCTGTAAAGATAAATAGAATTATAATAAGAGCAAAGAATAATAACCAAGAACTATTAATAAGAAAACAAAATGAATCTGATGTAACTTCTAAATGTTTAGATTTCCAAAATACCAAATAATACGTACAAAAGGGCCTCATAAAAAATTACTATTTTTCTAGCCCTTACAATTTACTATTAAATGCTGGGGAAAATAGTATATTAAATGTACTATGATTCTATGGACAAGTGAATGAACGGAGTGAATGACACACGCATACAATATTAAGGGAAGAGAAGCGAATTTACTATATTTTAATGCGTTCACTTCATTCCTTTCATATTAAATTTACTGTCACGTGTACGCATTAAAATCGTGTAAATGCTGCGTTCATTATATTATTTCGGCTTTCGTGCATCATTTTATTCTTTACAAAGCCTTATAATATAGTAAATGAACGCACTCTTTAAACACACGAACGAAAACAGTGAGTGAAGTACACCATTATCCTCTTTCCCCTTTAATAATACTATTGTGTTACCTTGCGAATGAAGGGAGAAAAAGCATGAAGATAATGAACAATAACTAGAAGAAAGATATAAGGGAATGAGAGAAAGGATGAAGAAAATTCTATATTATAAGGAGTTTTGTTCTCTCTTT